TCTGAATCAAAGCACATGGACCTCTCTGGCAGGCCCTTATCTCAAGGTTGGCCCCTTGACATCACGATTGAACACAACTAACACTGCCTTTGTTTTGTCTGTCTCTCAGATTTCCTGGTGGCAAATGCAAACCTTTCACAGTCAGGCTATCGCAGCTCAATATGCAACTGCAGCATCTTTTGGACCGAGATGCAAAACAAAGGCTAGGGCAGCTGTTCTTGCAAGGGCTGGCCTTCTTTTGCTCCTGCTTGACCAAAGACAGCGAGTTTTGAAAGTCTGTCGCTATCATGAAGTTCCAGACTGCATTCATGCTTTAGTGGAGAATGATATACCCCTACATGGCAATGTCTCAGCTACAAAGTGTTGGTGTGTCATCAACAGCTGCACAAAACAAGGGAAAGAAAAGGAACACCTTGGCTGGAAGCAGTCCTTCCTTTACCACAGGTGGTCGTGCGTGTGTCTATTATTTTATATGCAACGGGGGGAAGAATGACTTTAACATTATGAAACATTGCAATTATTTTTGTCCCTACACTTGGGTCTGATTCTAATTTTAGTAACTACTCCCCTCTGCTTGTTCTCTCTCTCTCTCTTTCAAAGCTGATCTGTCAATGTTCCTGTTACACAATAGCTCATCAGATGCCTTGGACGACTCCCAGAGCTTCTGTGCAAATGCTTCCAGCTTTCACTCATGGGATTGCAAGGCAGACTGGATGCTGCTGGGAGTCCAGGAAGGGGAGAAGTGGAGCCAACATAAAGAAACATGCCCTCCAACTCTCCCAGTCGGACAGCGACAATCTCCATCTGACTTTTCACTTTTTCTCTCTCCTTCTCTGCCTTTGTCCTCAGCTTACACAAATTGAGTAAAGACACACAGTAGAGCCTTGCTTATCTGAACCGCTTATCTGTCTTATCCGATGTTCTTATCAAACACCCTCTTTTCCTCCAGCATTTTCCCTCCCAACTCTCTCTCCATTCCTAATAAGTGAAAAAGGCAAGACAAGGAGGAGGAGGAAGAGTGAGGAAATGGGGGAAAGAAGCAGGACCAGAAACAAAAGCATCTTCCCTCCTTCCCTCTGATTTCCACCCTCCTCTTCTGCATCCGGGGACTTCCTGCTGGGCAGCTCTAGCCCCAAGGTGTTGCCTTGCCTTAAATCTTTGAGTCCCTGTTGTTAGTATTCTAGGTGTCTAGCACCACATTGCACAAATAACAGTAGGAGAATCCGTATTATCTGACATTTTTGTTTAGCCAACGTTCTGCCGACCCATTTATGTCGGATAAGCAAGACTACGGTATTTGCTCTTGCATGTAAGAAGAAGGTATGAACATTGTCCTTACCAGTTGACTCAGCCAGTTATTCCTCTCTTACATCCTCTTCAATAACATGCCAAGGAAACCCTTTAACAGGTTTCCCATTGGGTTGGCATCAGTTGGAAACGATTTGAAAGGCATCCAACCACCACTAAGTGCCTTATATGCTCATGTTTAAGCACCTCTGGGCCCACTTGTGGTGTTTTTGAATGTGGAGATGGGGAAAATGGCAGTTGCCAAGGCTCCCTCTGAGTTCACAGAATCACAGAACCCCAAAATTCTAGAATAACAGAAACATGGAATCAGACCCATGGAATCATTTCAAAGAGTAGCCACATAATTTTATGCTAGTGCTCCTCCAATGTTCTTGTCCCAGGAGTCCCCCCCCCCCCCAACACGAAGGTTTGCTTAATTTCCTATCTCTCTATGAGTTTGGCCTTACAATTAGTTCTCCCCCTGTTATCTCACCCGGAGTTTTTAAATCATGCGGCCTGCCCTTTGTTTGTCTGCCATTATGCTTAGTTCTTATGTTTTGTGTATATTGTTTTATATGCTTAGATGTTATTGTTATGTTGTTTATTTGATTGTAATTGGTATTGTTATATTGTAATTTTTGTTCGGGCTTGGTCCCATGTAAGCCGCTCTGAGTCCCCTTTGGGGAGATGGTGGCGGGGTACAAATAAAGATTATTATTATTATTATTATTATTATTATTATTATTATTATCTAATCACAAAATTATAGAATCACATAATCACAAAATCATGGAATCACGGAATCACAGACTCACAGAATCAGGAATCACAGAATCACAAAATTATAGAATCACAGAATCACGGATTCACAGACCCATAGAATCACGGAATCATAGCATTACAGAATCATGGAATCACAGAATCAGACTCACGAAATCACAGAATCACAGAATAATGGCATTAGACTCATGAAATTACATAATCACAACATTATAGAATCACATAATCATGGAATTCCAGAATTGCAGAATCATAGACTCACAGAATCAGAGAATCATAGGATTACAGAATCATAGAATCACAGAATCACAGAATCATAGAATCACAGAAGCATAGACTCATAGAATTACAGAGCTGGAAGAGACCACAAGGGCCATCCAGTTCAATCCCATTCTTCCATGCAGGAAGACACAATCAAAGTTGGCATTGGTGCTTTCCCCTCCACAGAATGTATATCCATATACAAATCCATAATTTTGGTCCCCAAATCTGTCCTTGACTTATACATGGGTCAACGTATATGTAGGTCAACTTATACATGGGATTGGCTTATACATGAATCTGACTTATGCATGAGTCTGACAAACATGAGTCAACTTATTCATGGGATTGATTAATGCATAAGTCCAATTTATACATGAGATTGACGTATACTTATACATATATCTGACTTATACATGGGTCTGATTTATATATGGGGTCAACTTACATGAGTATATACACTGCTTCAAAGAGATACTCCAAATGTGCCGGTGACCTGTTTTTCATTGGTCTTGTTTTGGCTCTGCTTCCTTTGGGACTACCCCTTCTTGTGTTTTCTGTGAAAGGGCAGGAAGGACGCCATGCAATGTAGCTTTGGTCATCGGGCAGATCCCAAAATAGCAGCCTCGAGTAATGTATTTCCTGATTTATTCATTTTGGAAGAAAAATAGTGAGGAGGATGAGCCGGTGAGGCGGCGATACTCACCCACTGGGTGGATACTTTACACGTCCCATTAGCTAATTGTGAAATCAGTGCTGTCTGCTGCTCTCACATATGGGATTTCCCATTATTTCTTCCTTCTCACTTGCTTTTTTGGCCCTAGCCACCCTTTGCCCCCCTGCCTCATTTGCATAGTGGGAAAAGGTACAAAATGCTCCGGCTTCCCAAAGGCCACTGACTTTAAGGGCTGAGTTTCGGAAAGCTTGATGGGAAAGAGAGAGACGTTGTTTAGCACTCCAGGTAAGAGGATTTGGGGTCAAAGGGCCACTTGTCCAGTCCCCTCGGGAGACAGATCTTCTCTGTCTGGTCTCTGTAAAGATTTGGCATGTGTTTCTCACAGTCAAGAGAGCAAAGAATGTCTTATCTGGGTGAGTGCTGGAGAGGGAGACAGAGACGTATCAGGAGGCAGCATGTGAAATCTGGCACTGCAAATTGCAGAAAGATCTTGCAGCCATTCCGTCCAGTCCAAGGCAACGTCCTGATGGGGATGCAGCAGAGACTAAAAAAAGCCCATGTGTGTTTTATTCCCACCCAGGAGACACCGAATTGGAAAGTTTCAACTCTTCTGCTGAGAATACGGAGGCCTTTTTTTTGGGAAATCAGAGGTATGTCAATTCAGAACTGAGTTCAACTCGGCTCAATGGGACGTCCTCCCAGGTAAGTGTGCAGAGCAATTTGTCTATCCGGATCGTATCTGAATACTTCTAACTCAGGCAGAAAATATGCTAACAAATCCTAGGGATGGAAACATCAATTGAAAAACTGTATTTCAGATCCGCTTGAAGCAAACCGACTGTCTGGAAAATAATAATAATAATAATAATAATAATAATAATAATAATAATAGTGTTAAAAAACAAAGTATGGATTGTCGATGTTGCAATCCCAGGTGACAGCAGGATTGAAGAGAAACAACTGGAAAAACGGACACAATATGAGGATTTAAAGATTGAACTGCAAAGACTCTGGCACAAGCCAGTCTGTTGGAAATGAGGCCAGGGAGGTTTATATACCTGTGGATGTATAAAACAAAGGATTTCCCCAGGCAAGAAGCAGCCAGGCTTTGAAGCTGCAAGGCTATTCAACGCTAATTAAGGTGGCCACCTGCAACAGTCACACTTGCTTCAAGCAGACAAGAGTTCTTTCTTCCATCTTGGACATTATTCCACAGACATATAACACTCACTTGGCAAGTTTTGAACAGACCTCACAACCCCTGAGGATGCCTGCCATAAATGTGGGTGAAACGTCAGGAGAGAATGCTTCTGGAAAGTGGCCATACAGCCTGGAAAACTCACAGCAACCTATTAACGGAATGCAATTCTCAGTTCTCACTTGGTGAACCATATAGAGCATAGGGTGCATCTGCACTTGAGAGTTAATGCAGTTTGACACCACTTTCACTATCCATGGCTCAATACTATGGGATCCTGGGAGCTGTCGTTTGGAAAGATAAGGGTTTACTTCCCAGGAGGTGTGTAGTAAAGGTTTTGAAAGTCTCACTGTTTTATGTTGAAAGAATTCAGATCTTTGGCTGAGTCATAATCACCGCATTGTATGACGGGGCATCTTTTTTTTTTGTTCTGTTTTCAGATGTTCATGATCAGAAGATGAAAGAAACATCTCGTTTTGATGTTGTGGAAAAACGCCAAAGAATGCTTTTGAGCATGTTTTGCCAACAGATGCATCTACATATGAGAATTAACACAGTTTGACACCACTTTGACCACCTGGGCTCTTTGCTATGGGGTTAGGGGAGATGTCGTTTGGTGAGGCAGGAGAATTTGCCAAACTACAATTCCCAACACTCCATAGCATTGAGCTATGGCAGTTTAAGTGGGGTCAAATTGTACTAATTCTATAGCGTAGATGTGCCCGCTCTACAAAACAATTGTCTCCTTCACTCTGCTAATGTCATTCCCTCCACTATCTTTCTCCAGAGAGGATCTGAGAGGTGCCCAGAATCCCTCTGCCTAATATGCAGAAAATGATGTGCCCTTGGCCTTTATTCTTTAAGCCTCCGATCTGCAAGAACAAGTTCCAAGACGATAAGGATATCAACAACAATATGGAAAAAGCCACCCAGCATGTCTGCAGGTGAGGTGGAGAAGGGAGGTTTACCTAAAGCATTTATTTAGTTGGGACCGAGCAAGACTGGCAATAAAGCCCAGAAAGGTAAATGTTAATCCACATTGTTGAATACCTCACCACACCTCACTACCTCTGAGGATGCTTCCCATAGATGCAGGCGAAACGTCAGGAGAGAATGCCTCTAGAACATGACCATATAGCTCGAAAAAACCTACAACAACCCATTGTTGAATTTATTTATTTTGTATCAAAAGCATTGCATACATTATTATAAAACTGATAAAAATAGGAGCGCAGGTGGCTAAATATCTTTTGACCAAAAACGGGCAACAGCAAAGGTATTGTCTGTAACCTCCAACAATGCTTCCTCTGTACATGAGGCAGGGCATAGTGGACAAGCATACAGATGCGGAGTTGTCTGTTCTGCTCCACAGTCACACAAGGTGTGGGATTCTTTTAGGTCATGCCATTTTACCAGGTTGTCTTTTGATCTGCTCACTCCACTTCTGAGTCTGTTCAGGGACTTCCAAGTTGCCCATTCCTTGTTTGCCCCAGGAGCAATGCCAGCTAGCTTGTAGAGTTTATCAACAGGTGTAGGTTTAAGACATCCTGTGATTATTCTGCATGTTTCATTCGATGCTATGTTCACCTGCTTTGCATGGGCAGACCTCTGCCAAACAGGGCAGTCATACTCGGCAGTTGAGTAAGACAAGGTGAAGGCTGATGTTCTTACTAATTTTGGGTCTGCACCCCATGTGCTGCTAGTAAGTTCCTGCAGGATGTTATTGCGTGCAGCTAACTTTGTGGTTGGTGTTCACGCAGTGTTTCCTATATGCTAGTGTTCGATCTAAGGTGACACCGAGATATTTAGGATGGAAACAATGTTAAAGCTCTTGACCTCCCCAGGTGACTTTCAATTTCCTGTTGGTTTCCCGGTTGCATAGGTGGAAAGCACACACTTGTGTCTTGGCAGGGTTAGGCTTCAGCTGGTTATCTTTACAGTAGCTGGAGAGATCTTTCAATTAATTGTGGAATTAATGCAGTTTGATGCCACTTGGACTGTCGTGACTCAGTGCTATGGAATCCTGAAAGTTATAATTTGTCAAGATCTCTTTCACCAGATAGCAGCTTCCATCGCATTTCAACTGGAGTGTCACTTTGGTTGGCATTGTTTAGTCTCTCCTTTGTCTTCCAGCTTGGCCAAACAAGATGGAACCATACCGAGCTCCAAACCGGATGTGATCATAGCCGCTGCAACAGCAAGAGAAGTGAGTCTGGGTTTGGGATTGGATGATTTAATCAATGGAGCTGAATGCAACAATTATTTCCACACTTGTACATACAAGGGTCACCCGGAAAGTAAGGTTACAAGGCACATAGGTCTTGCGGGGAATTTTTTGCAGGAGAAGTTGTTATCACTGTAGCGGGAAGCCAGCAGAAGTGAATGGGCGGTGCCAGTCATCAGTCACTCATCGACTGGCGTTGTGGTGAAGGTTAGAGAGGAGCGTCTTCCTTCTGTTTCCCTCCAAGTGCGAAGTTTACGCTGTATGAGGGATATCCAGAAAGTAACGCTACAAGGCACGTAGCTCTCACAGTGAATTTTCATGGGAGAAGTTGGTATCACTGCCGTGTAGCGGGAAACTAGTGGAAGCGAATGAGCAGTGCCAGTCTTCAGTTGCTCATCAACTGGCATTATGGTGAAGGTTAGAGATGAGCTTCCTCATTCTGTTTCCCTACAAATGCAAAGTTCGTGCTGTACGAGGGATATCCGGATAGTAAGGTTACAAGGCACACAGCTCTTGTGGGGAATTTTTTCTGGAGAAGCTGGTATCACTGCTGTATAGCAGGAAGCCACAGCGTTGTGGTGAAGGTTAGAGATGAGCGTCTTCTTTCTGTTTCTGTTCCGGTACGGCCGTACCAGGAGCTCCAGCTTATCTTGCTATTTGTTGAGTGTTGCATGTTTTTTTTAAAGTTCTATGCATTTGCAGTTAGATGGCTTTCCTTACTTTGCAGTTATTGGGTCAATGACCTGTCAATTATCATTAGGTTCCCTTGTTCCGCCTCCTTTTTGGGTTTTGGAGGGAATAGGAGCCATTTTAGGTCAGTCCACACAGAGAAGTCTTTCTTACAGGACTTAAACCAGGACCTCCTGTAAAAGGCTTCATCATTTACAGCTTGGCCGGGGAGAAATAGCCCCATAGCTTGGCCAGGGATATACAGTCTCAGCACAGCTTTTGCTGGGGACTTTACAGTTTGCTGAGGAACTTACAGCCTCTCAGCTCTCTTGCTAGGGATCCAGTCCCACAGCGCTTCAGCCAGCCATCACTGGGAAGTGAACATCTTCCTCCTCCTGGAAGTTCTGCAAAGGTCTCTGTTCGGTAAGGGCCCTTCGCGGCAACCATAAAGCAGATTGGACCGGGTGTAGGGGCCCCACGCCAACAGAAGAGAAGACAGATTGCCCAGGGTAGAGGTCGGGGATTTTCCCAACAGTGAAGGAACAGTTGCCTGCCCTTGGGGGCAAGATCGAGAAAGCCAACAAAGCCTTGGGGGCTGCACGTATCGGATAATTTCTAATTTTTTTCTTTTTTTGCCTTTCCTCTTTATAAGTAGGCATGCCATCCCTGAGCAATATCAAAGTCTTCTAAAGCCAGTATTTTCTTTTTTTCCAATGTTGCCCAGTCTCTTAACCAACTCAGAGTGGCTGTGTCGTAATACAATTGGAGCTCTGGTAGGCCTAGGCCTTCTCTTTTCTTATCATCAATTAAATTTTTAGAACTAATTCTATGTTTTTTGCCTTTCCATATAAATTTGACTATCTCTTTTTGCCAATTTTGTAAGGTTGTTCTAGATCTTAGTACCGGGAGTGTCTGGAATATAAATAGGATATCTAGTAGGATATTCATTTTAATCGCTGCTATTCCTCCCAGTAGAGAGAGGTTCAAATGTTCCCACGTCTTTAATTTTCTTTTTATTTCTAACCATTTTTTTCATAGTTATTTTTTGTTGAGTGCATATTATTGGATGAAATTATTACTCCTAAATATTTTACCTTTGTGACTACTTTAATTCCTGCTTTATCCTGAAGTTTTTCTTTTCTTTCTTTACAAATATTCTTAGTAATAATTTGTGTTTTATCTCTATTTATTTTAAATCCGGCCATCTCTCAAAACTTCTCTATCTCTTGCAGCCATTTATTCGTATGGGTTAGAGGATCTTCTATAAAACACACTATATCATCCGTGAATGCACGGGTTTTGAATGTATGCCTTTTAGTTCTGAGGTCTATTAGTTCAATGTTCTTCCTTATATTCTTTAATAAAGTCTTGAGGGTTAAAATAAAAAGTAACAGGGAAAGGGGACAATCTTGCCTTGCTCCTTTTTGGATAGGTATATTTATTGATTGTTGCCCATTTATTGTAATTTTTGCTATTTGGTCATTATATATTGATTCAATTGCATTCAGATAATAGTGACCTATATCCATTTCTATATTCCAATTTACATTATCAAATGCCTTTTTGGCATCCAGGAACATTAGAGCAATTTCTTTCTGGTTATTTTTTTCATAATCGATAACATTTATAACTGTTCTTATGTTGTCTCTTAGTTGGCGCTTTGAGAGAAATCCTGCTTGGTTATCTTAGTGTTTAATAGTTCCTTTAGTCTTGAGGCCAGTACACCTGTAAATATCTTATAATCTACATTGAGTAGAGACATAGGTCTATAATTTTTTACCGATGTGCTGTTTGTGTTTTCTTTGTGTATTATGGAAATTATTGCTGCTTTCCATGAATCTGGTATGTTTACGCTGTACAAGGGATATCTAGAAAGTAAGGTTACAAGGCATGTAGCTCTCGCAGGGAATTTTCGCAGGAGAAGTTGGTATCAGTGCCATGTAGTGGGAAACACACAGAAGTGAATGAGCAGTGCAAGTTGGCTTTACCATTTACATAGGCTTTACCATCTTCGGCATCTTGGAGGCTTGTGCAGTAGCTCATCAACTGATATTGGGTTAAGGTTAGAGATGAGGTGTCTTCATTTTGTTTCCTTCCAAGTGCAAAGTTCACGGTGTACGAGGGTTACCTAGAAAGTAAGACTACAAGGCACGTAGCTCTCGCAGGGAATTTTCATGGGAGAAGTTGGTATCACTGCCGTGTAGCAGGAAACCAGGCATGTAGCTCTCTTTAAAGCGGGGAGGTATTTAAGGCACCCATAAGGAAATGCCAGAAAAGTGCCGGCGATTAGGTCAAGGAGGAAGTTTACTAACAAAGCTCTTCAGCAGGGAAGATGGAATGACAGCACCCTCCCCCCCAATGGGCAGAACAAGCACAAGCCTCCAAGATGCCAAAGATGGTAAAGCCTATGTATACCTCTATCTATATACATTTGTTTGTCTTGTCAGTATGTAACGGCATTGAATGCTTGCCGTATATTTGTTCTGTGAGCAGCCCCAAGTCCCCTTTGGGATGAGAGGGGTGGAATATAAATACTGTAAATAAATAAAGAAAGAAATAAGCATATATGTTTTATTGAAATCCAAGGGTGCATCTAGAATGGGTGCACTTTGACTTCGATTTGGCTGCCAGCGGATATTGAGGATGCAAGGTTCTTGTGAAGATGAAATGAGAGAATTCCTGTATTTCTTCACAGGCAGGCCAAGAATCATATCTTTAAAATTAAGTGATATTTTTGTCGTTCTTCTGGTTCCTTTCTCTGCCCAGAAATGTCTCCCGAACAGCAACAAGCAAGCCTCCAGATGCCTGAGGAACTTGAAAATTAAAAACTGGGAACATGGAATGACACTCCAAGACACACTGCACTGCGAGGCAAAAGAGGTAAGCAGACAAAGGAATAATAATAATAATACACTTTGTTTATATTCTGCTCTATTTCCCTGAAGGGACTCAGAGCGGATTACAGTATACACATATAGAAGCAAACATTCAGTGCCTTTTATACAGTAACAACAATGACATGCAGTACACAAACAAAGGCAAAGGCTTCCTTTTCCATCTCCAGCATCTGGAGGCAATGCTCAACTCTGGCCATGAGGAGGTGCTCTTGTTCCATTTTTTCTTTTGTCCTGGTCGTGTTTGCTGGCATGACTGCATGGGTGCCTTTTAGCTTCCTGCCAAGGTGATACCTATTGACCTACTCACATTGCATGTTTTCGAACTACTAGATTGGAAGGAGCTAAGGCTAACAGCGGGAGCAAACCCCGACCCGAGGCTTGAAACTGTCAACCTTCCAGTCAGCATTTTTTTCTGCAGCTAGAGGTTGAACCCGCTGTGCTACTGCAGCCCCCATAGCATGGATAGTTTCAGGGTATATTTTGACATTGGCCCGCATAGCATTCAGGGAATGGAAATCGGGTATATGGGGACATTGTTGTGATGTTGTTTCTTCCCAGGTGCTGAGCTGCCGGTCCAGCGTGTGTCAAGGGTCTCTCATGAACAGCCCAGCTTTGGTCAGAGGTCCCCGAGACGAACCCGTCCCTAAAGACAAATTATTGCACCAAGCGACTGAGTTTATCAATCTGTTCTACGGTTCATCCAAAGAGTAAGACAAATTTTTTTTTGCTATAATGTCAGGGATGTCTAATAATAATAGTAGCAGTAATAATAATAATAACCTATAAATATCTTGGCATACTACAGTTGGACAATATCAAGCATGGGCATGTGAAAAATGTGGTCAGCAAAAAATACATCCAGAGAGTCAGAAAGCTTTTGAAGAGCAAATTAAATGGCGGAAATATGATCAAGGCTCTCAACACCTGGGCCATCCCCGTCATTAGATACACAGCTGGAATTGTGAACTGGACACAAGCAGAGCTGGAGGTTCTGGACAGAAAAACAAGAAAACTGATGACAATCCACTACTCATGACACCCGCGTAGTGATGTTGAAAGACTTTACCTGCCCAGAAAATCAGGAGGCAGAGAGAGTGAAACAAACATTAGAAGAAGAGAAACATGTCCTGGCAGATGATGGCAGATGAAAGACAGTCAAGAGCTAACATTGAGGGAAGTCAATAGTAGTAAACTGCTTAAAGTGAAAAAGACAAAGAGGGAATACGGTAAAAAAACAATGCAGAGCAGAAGAGAAAACTGACCAAATAAGGCTCTCTTTCCATGGGCAGTTCTTGGGAAAAACAGAGCCAAATGGACAAGGAAAATACATGGCTGTAGCTCACAATTGGAACGATCCCAAGTGTAGACTCTGTAAGGAAGCAGATGAAACACTAGATCACATCCTCAGCTGCTGCAAGAAGATCGCGCAGACAAACTACAAGCAGAGGCATAACACCGTTGCTCAGATTATTCATTAGAACTTGTGCCATCTGCCTGCAACAAAGAACTGGTGGGATCACAAGCCGGAAAAGGTTACAGAGAATGAACACTTCAAGCTCCTCTGGGACTTCCAAATTCAGGCAGTCAGAGTTGTGGAGCACAATACTCCTGACTTCACAATCGTGTTAAAAAACAAAGTATGGATTGTCGATGTTGCAATCCCAGGTGACAGCAGGATCGAAGAGGAACAACTGGAAAAGCTGACACGATATGAGGATTTAAAGATCAATCTGCAAAGACTCTGGCCAGTAAGGGTGGTCCCAGTGGTGACCGGCACACTGGTTGCAGTGCCTAAAGACCTTGGCCTGCACTTAAACAGAATCGGCACTGACGAAATTACCATCTGCCAGCTGCAGAAGACTACCTTACTGGGATCTGCACACATTATTCGCTGATACATCACACAGTCCTAGACACTTGGGAAGCGTCCGACGTATGATCCAATACAACATGCAGCAGAGTGTCTGCTGTGGACACATCTTGTTGTGTTTCTAATAATAATAATAATAATAATACCTTATTTATATTCCGCTCTATCTCTCTGAGGGGACTCAGAGCAGATTGCAACATACACAGATAGGCAAACATTCAAAGCCTTTAATACAGTGGAATAACAATGACACATAAACACACAGAACAAAGGTCCCCTTTCATCTCTGGCTTATGGAGGCAGTGTTCAACTCTGGCTATGAGGAAGCACTCTTTCTCTATTTCCAAGCTGAAGAGCTTGCTGTTTATAGACACCTTCTTGGCATGCTGCATGGGCGCCTTTCCACCGAAGCAGTACCTATTGATCTACTCACATTTGCATGTTTTCGAACTGCTAGGTTGGCAGGAGCTAGGGCTAACAGTGGGAGCTCACCCCAACCCGCAGCTTCGAACTGCCAACTTTTAGGTCAGCAGATTCAACAGTTCAATGGTTTAAACCACTGTGGCACCATGGATGTACAGCTTTCCTTATTGTGTACTTGAAGCTCGTTGGATTATGAATGTGTGTGCACTGTAGAATGAATATAGCTTGATGCCACCTTAGCTGACATGGAGTCCTGAGAGTTGTAGTTTGGATAGGCAACACCTCTCTTGCACAGAGAAGACTACAAAAATACAGCTGCCAAAGTAATACGGAGAGAGAGAGAGATGAATGGTCAGTCTTGCAACTCAAGAGCTACTCACATTAGAATTAATGGATGGAGTGGGTGGTGAATTTGGAAATAACTCAGGCTTTTATTTTTTTTTGTTGGAAAAAGTCACCTGGATTGTTTACAGAGCTAATTCAGAACTGGAGAGAGGTTATTTGCAAAAACACCCCTGCGGTATTTCCCCCTTCTGTTCAGAGCAGGAGGGGAACAATGAAATTGCATCCATTGTACAATGTGGATGCACCTTCAGATACAGAATGAGTGATATTTTTGCAAATTATGTCAGATCCAGAATTCACTATGGTTGTTGTATGTCAGTCTGTTCAGCCTGTATTTGTGTCTGATGTTCATGATGGTGGGCCTGGGTCTGTTGGCAATGGGGATGCGGGTTTGCCTGGGCCTGAATTAAGCTCAGATGAGAGGCCTGAGCTTTTCTCAGGAAGATTCACAAGGTCACATTCCCTGGAGACACCCTTCACAGTCTTTCTCAGAGCAACTGTCTGAAGATTATTTGTCAGGCGCAGAAGTTAATGAGAGTCAAGAGAGCATAGATAGAAAGCAAGGCTTTTGTAAACAGAGACAAGGTGTTCAGAAGCAAAGATGTCTCTTTTCCTCTTTTACAGGAAAAGAGAGATAAAAATCTGGTGGTAAGGTCAAGAGAAATGCTTTCCTTTCAGTTTTGGGATCTGGAAATGCTTTATATTGATTCATGGGAAAGAGCTGCCTCAGTTGGGTCAACATTGGAATTTAATGATGGTCATGCTTTCAAGTGCTCTTAGTTTCATGCACCAAGTTTTTCATCAAGCTCAAGACTCATGTATTGGATTTTTCCTTATGCCTTGTTTCTTGGATCCCTGTGTCTCATTTAATGGATTTTTGTACATATGGATCTTGTTTTCCCTTGAAGCTTATGGACTATTTGATGTTTTGGAACTTTACTCTTTTTACTAATTTTACTGCTTTGCCTACATATATTCCTCAATAAACTGCTTGCTGATTTTGCCATGCTGGTGTGGTTTTTAAGGTAAGAGGTGTTCCTGCTCTGGTGTACGACAATTGTTTCCCTTTTTTTGGTCATAGGCTGAAAATAGACCACCTTGCTCGCCTGGAAGCAGTGGCTAAAGAGATCGAGACAACCGGGACTTACCAGCTAACCGGAGACGAACTCGTCTTTGCAGCAAAGCAGGCCTGGAGAAATGCGCCGCGATGCATCGGGAGAATCCAGTGGTCCAATTTACAGGTGGTTCTTCAATCCCATAGTATTTAAGCTCCATTTCTCCCATTGATTCCATCCTAACAATAGTTTCAGAAGGTGGGTGCATAGAGTGGAGACCACACTGGGTGTGCACACTGCACACTGCACTTACCCTAATCCTTACATATCACCTGTCACATCAGCACTTTTAATCCTGTACCCATTACTCTGGCCTCGCCCAGTTTTATTGTGTCTTGATGTATTGTTTATTGCTTGTTGTCTAATATTGCTTTAATTGTTTTTAATTTGCTTTAGGTTTTGTATTGTTATGTTGTGTTTTGAGGCCTTGACCTTTGTAAGCCGCATCGAGTCCTTCGGGAGATGCTAGCGGGGTACAAATAAAGATGATGATAATAATAATAATAATAATAATAATAATAATAATAATAATAATAATTGACAGTCCCAGGGGGGTGACGCCACAAGGACTCTCTATAAAAAGTTAGTGTTTCAATTGAAAGGTTTCTTCTATATACAAATAAAGCCAATGTTTGTGCTGTAAATGCTGTTCCTAGGTGAAGTGGCCCTTTGTGAAGACACTGGGAAAGGTGACATGTGTATGAGGGGGCGGGAAGAAAGAAAGAAAAAGAAAGAAAGAAAGTGAGAAGGGAAAGAAAGGAAAGGAGAAGAGAGAAAGGGAGGGGAAAGAAATTAAAATTAAGGAGAGAAGAAAAATGGGGGGAAAGATATGAGGCGCAGGGAGAAAAGAAAGAAAGAAAGAAAGAAAGAAAGAAAGAAAGAAAGAAAGAAAGAAAGAAAGAGAAAAAGGGAAATAAAGGAAAGGAAGGAAAATATGAGGGGAAGGGAGGAATGTAAGGGAAAAAAAGGAAGAGCTGAATTTTGCATTGTGTTGAGGAAGTGAACATCTTGCTGGGCAGGGCTTTAGCACAGCTGGTTAAACTGCCTGCTGCAGAAAATCTTGCTGATCCAAAGGTTGGCAGTTCAAGCCCGGGTCTGGGTGAGCTCCCACCGTCAGCCCAGCTTCTGCTCAGCAAGCAGATTGAAAACAGCAAAGGGGGTGGATAAATAGCAGGGAGGTAATAAAAAGGCACCCATGAGGACATGCCGGCAAACCAATTTGGAGGATGTCTAAGGATGGAGCAACAGCACCTCCCTGTGGCCAGAGTCAAAAACAGCCTCCAAATGCTGGAGATGGAAAAAAGATGGGAAAGCCTATACCTCTGTTTATGTACTGTCTATCCTTGTTAATTGCATACTGGCATTGAATGTTTGCCATATAAGTGTCCCCTGAGTCCCCTCGGGGAGAGAGGATGGAATATAAATAAAGTATATTATTATTTATTGTTCCTCCATAAATCTTTTAGGTGTTTGACGCTCGTAACTGCGCTACTGCCAAGGAGATGTTTGCACACCTCTGTCGTCATTTGGCGTATTCGACCAACGGAGGCAAGATCAGGTGTGGACAGTTTCCCTTCACCTCTTTTGCATCTTTAGAATTGCCGGATGGTTTTGTTACTTGCTCTTCATTGTCAAACAGGTCGGCCATCACGGTTTTCCCCCAGAGGACAGACGGGAAACATGACTTCCGAATATGGAACAGCCAGCTCATCCGATATGCCGGATACCAAACGCCGGATGGTTCCATTGTGGGCGATCCAGCCAATGTGGAGCTCACACAGGTATATGCCAAAATTGACCAAGTTGGTGACACATCCAGAGGAATCATGAAGTTGAAAGAGACCCTAAAGGTCATCCAAACTGTCCCCCTTCTGCCAGACATAATGAAAGCCCTCCTGACAGATGGCCTTTTTGCTCACAGACTCACAAACCTCATTAAGCACACTTTAAACTAGGTCCACTGGGGGAGGTAAAGTACTTGCAACAAGTACTTTACCCACAATGTCAGGGAACCGCCAGAAGGCTAAACGGAGGGCTGCACAAACACATTGAGGACCAAGTACCAAATAATAATAATAATAATAACACTTTATTTGTACCCCGCTACCATCTCCCCAAGGGACTCGGTGCAGCTTACATGAGGCCGAGCCCAAACACAACAATGCAAGCAATAATCACAACAATACAAGCAATTAAAATAAAAACACAGACAATAATACAACATTATCAAAAGACAACATACAATTAAAACTGTGGGAAGGCCAAATGTAAAATTAAAATTGGGAATAATGCTGGAGCATGGACGAAAAGGTGATAGTGGCGTTTGTGGAAGGACATACGAGCAGACCTAAAAGTGTAAAGTGCTTTGGAAGACAAAGTGCTATGGGATCATTATTCCAGGAAGGCACACTGGAACAAGCACGTCTTCAAGCTCCTCCTAAAGACTGCCAGGGTTGGGGCCTGCCTGATGTCCTTAGGAAATGAGTTCCAGAGCCGAGGGGCCACCACCGAAAAGGCCCTCTCTCTCGTCCCCACCAATCGTGCCAGCGATGCTGGTGGGATCGAGAGCAGGGCCTCTCCAGATGAACAAAGAGATCGTGTGGGTTCGTAAACAGAGATGCGATTACGCAGGTAGGGCTTTGTAGGTAAGAACCTGCACCTTGAATTGGGTCCGGTAGATAAATGGCAGCCAGTGGAGCTCCTTGAACAGGAGGGTTGACCGCTCCCTGTAAGTAGCCCCAGTTAACAACCTGGCTGCCACCCGTTGGATCATCTGAAATTTCTGGGCTGTTTTCAAGGGCAGCCCCATGTAAAGTGCATTGCAGTAATCCAGTCTAGAGGTGACTAAGGCATGGACCACCTTGACCAGATCCGCCTTCCCGAGGTATGGTCGCAGTTGGCGCATGAGTTTTAATTGTGCAAAGGCCCTCCCGGCCACCACCGACGCCTGAGCCTCAAACGTAAGTGAAGAATCCAGGAGGACCCCCAAACTGCGGACCTGTGACTTCAGGGGGAGTGCAATCCCGTCCAGCACAGGTTGCCACCCTATACCCCGGTCTGGTTTACGATCGACCAAGAGGACCTCTGTCTTGTCGGGATTAATCTTCAGCTTGTTCGTCCTCATCCAGACAGCCACAGCGGTCAGGCACTCGTCTAGTACTTGAGGGGCTTCCTTGGAGTTAGGTGGAAAAGAGTAGTAGAGTTGTGTGTGATGGCGGAGTGGTAGCAGYGAACCTCCGCTACGGTAAGAAAGGAACTGTAATCCGACTTAAGCCTCCCCACCCTTGAAAACTGCTCCTTATACCAATGACAAACCAGGGCCACGAAGRTGGCTTTGCGGGGTCTATTTGGAGCAGCATTGCTGAAGGAAGGGCTGAAGAAGGCTGAGAGAGGAAGGAGGTAGAGCGACTGGGCCGCCGCCATTACCGGCTCTCGAACGCGCTCCCTCCTCACCTTTTTCGCTGCAACCACTGGCTCYTTCTTGCCAACTCCAACGCTAGCGACAGGATTGAGACCATTGYCGCTCGAGGGGGTGACTGTTTGCCATCTCTCTGCCCCCGCTCCTGCCCGGGATTCGGAGGCACGGAACGACCGGACTTGTAGCCACAGCACCATTTCCCAGCTCCGCGTTGCCATTTCCCCGTTTCCAGAGTACAGCCGGGTTGCCTGGTGCTGTTGTTGCGCCGTCGCGCTGCTGCCCTGTGGTTGTCTGGTCCTGGGCCAGGCCGGCCTCCACTCTGCCGGCCTTCCTCCACTCAGGCCGGCTTGTCACAACTCCGGAACCCAGAGCTGAGGATTGGCTTGACCGCCGCCGCATCGCTGTATCGCAGCCCAGGGCGCAGCTTGTTTGCTTCGTTGCCCTGCGGCGGGGCTGTTTTACTACGCTACACTCCTGCGACTGCCTGGCTCCCGGGCAAGGCCAGCTTCCCGTCATCCCGCCCTTCATCGCTCCAGCCGGCGTTCCATCTTTGCGCCTTCATGCTGTTCCCTGCGGCTGTCTGGCCCTCTGACCAGGCTGGCTCCCCATCGTGTCAGCGTTGTGCCGTTTTGACTGGCCCGTTGTCGTCCTGGCCGGCTTCCCATCGCTTTGGCTGCGTCGCTGGGCTACTGCCCCATTGTGCCATTTCTAGAGCTTGGCTGGAGCAACAGGCTTAGCCGGTTGTTAATCTGCTAATTTATTCCCGTCCTGTGGCACTTATCATCCTTGAGTTGTGTTGACCCATCGCTATCATACGAGACGCCCAACATCGCGTCTTTGTCTCCAACTCTGGAAGGACCAGTATAATCCATCTTGTCATCTGAGTTATTAACCAAGTTGTCATCTGTTCTATGTTCGCCAGCTGGGGGTCCGTTTTCAGCAGTTCTACTACAGCTCCCCCGGGCCCTGTTACCAACAACACCCCAATAAGACTTTACATCTCCGGGGCAGTAACCTTAATATTGGGGAGGGGAGGGGGGTTAAACTGCAGTATTAACAACACTCATATTAGGACTGAAACCGAGATCTTGAGATGTAACTGCACTGCCAATATTCTGCCAATATTCTGAAATGTGCTGCTAACCTGCCTAGCTTCAGCACTTTAACCCATTACCTTTGTATTGAACTTGCTGCTAAACTTTCCAACTTAGCACTTTAGTTATTGATTTAACAACTAGCACTTGAATTATCAATCCCTCCATGTTGCACTTTATCTACTTAAAGTCAGACGTTGATAAAGCCACAGCACTTTAATAACTTCTATCATCTTGCACACCGATACGGCTACCTGCTTGCACTTTGAATTTTTGTAAAGTTCTAGTGATTGTGTTTTAACATCCATTATCCATGCTGCTCCCCATTCCCTGGTATCTGTTAATTGTATTGTTAATTGATTGTGAAAGGGATAAGGGGTGGAGCGGGCTGGAGAGACCTGGAAACAGCAGGGCAGGGGTGGGAAATGAATGGAGTGGAGGTCTATGGCAAACTGATATTCCAACAAACCAAAGAACCGATAATGAACCATGGGTTGAAGTTATGGAGGTTGAATGCGACATGGAGGGGGGGGGGTGTCCTGTCGGCCGAGGGGCCCCTATCGAAGTCGTGGTGGGGAAGGGGACATGCAGGAAAGGGAGACCACTAATTTGGCCTAGGGATTGTAGTACAACACTAGTAATTCCAAATCGGTCTCCTGATATGGTAAATTGGTGTAACCAGGATGGCGGTCCCTCTGGATTGAAGGTGGCGCTGTTGAATGCCAGATCTGTCAATGGAAAAACAACTTTCATCCAGGATCTAATCCTGGATGAGCGGGCAGATCTGGCATGCATCACGGAGACCTGGTTGGACGAAGCTGGAGGTGTAAATTTGACCCAGCTCTGGCCACCAGGGTTCTCCGTGCAGCACCAGCCGAGATCCGGAGGGCGGGGAGGCAGGGGTTGCAGTGGTCTATAGAGATTCCATCCCTCTGACCAGGGGCCACATCCCGCAGTCAACAAAATTTGAATGTGTCCATCTGAAAGTGGGTGACCGGGACAGAATAGGGATTCTGTTAGTGTACCGTCCACCTCGCTGCACTACAGTCTCCCTACCTGAGCTAGCGGAGGTGGTCTCAGGCTTGACACTGGAGTCCCAGCGGCTACTTGTGCTGGGGGACTTCAATGTTCATGCTGAGGCTGCCCTTTCAGGAGCGGCTCAGGACTTCATGTCTGCCATGGCAACCATGGGGCTGTCCCAACGGGTATCTGGCCCCACTCACAGCGCAGGACACACATTGGACTTGGTTTTCTGCCAGGGATGGGAGGAAGGTGGCGGTATTGAGGAGCTGACCATCTCTCCGTTGCCATGGACCGACCGCTACCTGGTCAGATTTAGACTTACTGCACCCCCTAACCTCTGCAGGAGTGGAGGACCCATTAAGTTGGTCCGCCCCAGGAGGCTTATGGATCCGGATGGATTCCTGATGGCTCTTGGGGAGTTTCCCGCCACCTCGGTAGGTGATCCTGTTGATGCCCTGGTCGCTCTCTGGAATGGGGAGATGACTAGGGCAATAGACACGATTGCTCCAGAACGTCCCCTCTCAAGTAGCCGAGCTAAACCAGCCCTTTGGTTCACCGAGGAGCTGGCAGCGATGAAGCGAAGGAAGAGGGAACTAGAGAGCGTGTGGCGTTCAGATCCGAGCGAGCCAAATCGAACACGGTTTGTGTCCTCCTTAAGGGCATATGCCGCGGCAATAAAAGCTGCAAAGAAATCCTTCTTTGCGGCCACTATTGCATCTGCAAAGAACCGTCCGGCTGAACTGTTTCGAGTTGTCAGAGGCCTTTTAAATCCCACCACTCAGGATGGGAGCCCTGACAATTCGGCAGCTTGCTGTGAAGCTTTTGCTCAGTTCTTTGCAGACAAAGTCGCTTTGATCCGTTCTGGCCTGGATACCATGTTAATGGCAGTCTCTGAGGATGTAACAAGAGCACCTGCTTGTCCAATTTTGATGGTTTCATTTCAATTAGTGAAACCCGAGGATGTGAACAAGATACTTGGAGGAATGAGGCCAACCACATGCATCCTGGACCCCTGCCCATCCTGGCTTCTAAAGGAGGCCAGAGGGGGATTGGCTGAGTGGGTTAAGGTGGTGGTTAATGCCTCCCTTCAAGAAGGCAAAATTCCAGCAAGCTTAAAACAAGCTATAATAAAACCGCTGTTGAAAAAGCCATCATTGGACCCCACTAAATTCGACAACTATCGGCCTGTTTCCAATCTCCCCTTTTTGGGCAAAGTCTTGGAACGTGTGGTGGCTTCACAACTCCAGGTATTCTTGGGAGACACGGATTATCTGGATCCGGCACAGTCTGGTTTCAGACCGGGGCATGGAACTGAGACAGTCTTGGTCGCCTTAGTGGATGATCTGCACCGGGAGCTCGACAGGGGGAGTGTGTCCCTGTTGGTGCTGCTGGACCTCTCAGCGGCCTTCGATACCGTCGACCACGGTATCCTTCTGGGACACCTCGTGGGAATGGGTCTTGGAGGTACCGTATTGCTGTGGCTCTGGTCATTCCTGGAGGGTCGGTCTCAGAAGGTGTTACTGGGAGACACCTGTTTGACCCCATAACCTTTGTTTTGTGGGGTTCCTCGGGGCTCAATACTATCTCCCATGTTGTTTAACATCTACATGAAACCGCTGGGGGAGATCATCCGGAGTTTCGGAGTATGGTGTCATCTGTACGCAGATGATGTCCAACTCTGTCACTCCTTTCCACCTGCTACTAAGGAGGCTGTCCAAGTCCTGAACCGGTGCCTGGCTGCTGTGACGGTCTGGATGAGGGCGAACAAATTGAAATTGAATCCAGACAAGACAGAGGTTCTCCTGGTCAGTTGCAAGGCCGAACAGGGCATAGGGTTACAGCCTGTGTTGGATGGGGTCGCACTCTCCCTGAAGACGCAGGTTCGCAGCTTGGGTGTGATCTTGGACTCATCGCTGAGCCTGGAACCTCAGGTTTCAGTGGTGACCAGGGGAGCATTTGCACAGTTAAAACTTGTGCGCCAGCTGCGCCCGTACCTCGGGAAGTCTGACTTGGCCACGGTAGTCCACGCTCTGGTTACATCCCGCTTAGACTACTGCAATGTTTTCTACATGGGGTTGCCTTTGAAGACTGCTCGGAAGCTTCAACTAGTCCAACGCTCGGCAGCCATGATACTAACAGGAGCGGCACTCAGGGAGCACACAACTCCTCTGTTGCGCCAGCTCCACTGGCTGCCAATTTGCTACCGGGCACAATTCAAAGTGTTGGCGTTGGCCTATAAAGCCTTAAACGATTCTGGCCCAAGGTACCTATCCGAACGCATCTCCGCCTATGAACCCACGAGGGCTTTAAGATCTTCTGGGGAGGCCCTGTTCTCGATCCCGCCTGCAACTCAGGCACGGTTGGTGGGGACGAGGGACAGGGCCTTCTCGGTAGTGGCCCCTCGGCTGTGGAACGCCCTACCCACAGACATCAGATTAGCTCCCTCATTAATGGCATTTCGGAAGAAAGTAAAAACCTGGTTATTCGAACAGGCGTTTGAATAGGCAGTGCAATGAATTACAATGAATTATAGGAAATCGGTACAACAGATGACGAGCTTGGATTATGATTTTAGTTATGAGACGCCAGTGAGTTGTTTATTGATGTTTACTGATGGTTACTGATGTTAATTGCTTATTGTATTATTGTGTTAATTGTCTTTTAAATGGTTGTACGATGTTTGCATTGAATTTTTGCCACTACTTGTTGTTAAACGCTCTGAGTCGCCTAATTGGCTGAGAAGAGCGGTATACAAATAAAGTAAATAAATAATAAGAAATAAATCTGCATAGAGATGGCACCCATCTCCAAAACTCCAGATGACCTCTCCCAACGGTATCATGTAGATGTTAAAAAGCATGGGAGACAGAATGGAGCCTTGCGGGACCCCACAGGTCAAAGGCCAGGGGTCTGAACAGGCGTCTCCCAGCTTCACCATCTGGGATCGACCCTCCAGGAAGGACCGGAGTTACGACAAAGCCGTACCTCCAAGGCCCATCCTGGAGAGTTGTCCCAGAAGGATACCATGGTCAATGGTGTCAAAAGCCACTGAGATGTCCAAGAGAACAAACAAGGTCACACTCCCCCTGTCCAACTCCCTACGGAGATCATCCACCAAGGTGACCAAAGCCGTCTCAGTGCCATGGCCAGGTCTGAAGCCAGACTGTGACTGATCCAGGTAGTTGATGTCATCCAGGAAGCCCTGGAGCTGAGCAGCGACCACCCGCTCCAACACCTTGCCCAGAAAAGGGAGGTTTGAGATTGGTCTATAGTTATTCAAGACCGTGGAATCAAGGGAAGTCTTTTTCAGGAGTGGTCTAACCACTGCCTATTTTAAGCCTGATGGAAAAATTCCTTGCTCCAACGATGTATTGATGATTAACATAAACCAATCAATCAGACCATCCTTGGCCGATTTAATTAGCCAAGACGGGCAAGGGTCCAGAGCTGATGTAGTAGCTCTCACTGCCCCAAGGGCTACCTCCACGTCCTAGGACAAACAAGCCGGAAGGAATCCCACAAAACTGGACAAGCAAATGCCTCGGTCACCTCCCTTGGAACTGCGATCAAACTGGAGTCCAGCTCAAGACGTAACTGAGCAACTTTGTCTGCAAAGTGCTGCGCAAATTTGCAGCACTGAGTTTTCGGGTCATCGAAGGCCTCTTCCACCTCAGGAGCGTGAAGAAGTTCCCCAACGACCTGAAACAAAAGCACAATAATCCCAAATAAATAGCTCAGGGGAAGATCTCAGGGGCTCACATGTCTTTACACTAATGCACAGAGCATGGGAAATAAACAAGACGAACTCCAACTTTTAGCACAACACCACAAATATGATGTCATAAGCATCACTGAAACCTGGTGGGAAGACTCCTGTCACTGGAATGTAGACATCGAGGGCTATAACCTCTTTCACAGAAACCGAACAAAGGGGAGAGGAGACAGAGTAGCCTTATATGTCAAAAACTGTTACGCTGCAGAAGAGATGCAAGACAGCAATCCGGGAAACCAGCTTGAAAGCATCTAGATAAGAATCAAGAGAACTGGGACTCAAAAAGATCTTATTGTAGGCATCTACTACAGACCTCCAAGCCAGAATGAAGAACTTGATGAAGTCTTCTGCCAACAGTTGACCAAACAGGCACAAAGAAGAGATATAGTAGTCATGGGCTTCTTGGCAGGGGGATGGACTGGATGGTCTATGATTATATGTTTAAAAATGTCCAGAGGAAGAGGCTCTGTCGGACTCCAAGGAAGCATTCTCCACTGTCAAACAAATATAATCTGTGTAAACACAGCCACTGGAAAAGTGTATTGTGGTTATTTGCCTTGCACACTGAGCAAAGTCTTGTTGTCACTCTCCTTTCTCCCAGCTATGCATCCAACTGGGTTGGAAGCCTAGACATGGCCGCTTTGATGTCCTTCCACTCATCCTCCAGGCTGATGGCCAAGACCCAGAGTTATTTGAGCTGCCGCCAGAACTGGTCCTCGAAGTGCCAATGGAGCATCCCACGTAAGCAATGCCTTGGCTTCACTCGACAGCCCCCAGGGCTCCTCTGGATGGGCAGGTCCAGCAGTTGTTAAAGTGAGATCATTAACTGTGTCCACATTCACCCTGTTTGTGTTTGGTTGGATGAAATTGAATTAGACTCTTGGAGAGGATGTTGCAATTGGGGGGGGGGGGGGAAGAAAACTTGAGCTCAAATTAACAAAAAGTAGCTATTCTGCATAAGAAGACTCAAATAGCCTTAACAGAGTAGGCTTCTATAGTGGCAAATAAGCCATAGTGTGCTTTCTGGAGGAAAAAAAATAAGACAGTGTCTTTTTTTCGGGGAAACATGGTATTTCTGCATTGTGTTTCTGATAGATATGAATGGTTTAAAGACCTGGGCTTGAAGTGGTATGCTATTCCCGCCGTCTCGAACATGCTACTCGAGGTTGGAGGGCTGGAGTTTACAGCTTGCCCTTTCAACGGCTGGTACATGGGGACCGAGATCGGGGTGCGAGACTTCTGCGATGTGCAGCGCTACAATATACTCCAGGTAGTCTTTCTGGGATTCAAGATCAAATATGGTGACTGGTATATAGCATATTGTGGCATAATGTAACATAATCCATGTGTAGTTCATGTTTGATCAGCCCACATGCTGCCTTGCCAGAGAAAGAAAATATGCCATGCAGATGGTTCCGAAAACTACCTTGAGTCGCCGACAGGCTGAGAAAGGCAGTATACAAATACAGTAAATAAATAAACAAATAACAGTAAAGAACAAATAGTTTACTCTTCTTAGTTCAGAACAACATATGTACAATCTGATCGATTACGCCAAGTCACATAATGTCTTGGTGTAAAGAGATTTTAAAAGGGTATTTCTTCTATCCATGTTCATAAACTCCTTCAGCAGCTCATGAAGCAAGAGTACACCAAACTCTGTCTCTCCCTGCTTCCCTTTTCAAACTGTCTCTCTCTAAACACCTGCAGAGTTCAAGCCTGAACAAAAATGTAACAGTATCCAAAAGTCCCAAGCTCAGACGACTCCCCAGGCATTGCCCGACCAATCAGCTTTATGCATCTTATTTCACAGTTGACACACACACAACAACTGTTTTCTTACATGCTCCAACACATATGTTCTGTATCTCAAAAACTAGAGTTGATTTGCTAAGTCCTTTGCTCTGTTTGTCTCTCCTTGCTCTGTAGGACGTGGGGAAAAGAATGGGCATGGAAACAAATAAGCTCTCTTCCCTGTGGAAAGACAAAGCTGTGATTGAAGTGAATGTTGCCGTGCTACATAGTTTTCAGGTGAGTAAAGGGGGTGGGGGGATAAAAGAAGAAAAGGACTGGCTGATAAATTGAAAATTCTCAGATTCAGTTCCTAGCTTCCCCAGGTTACTCTTAGAAAGACCGTACTGCATGATCCTTTGGAAAATCAGCCGACTCCCCTAACTGTTCCAATTTGGTATGGACAGTCCTGATTAATCCTGTCATCCAACTTTTTCATATTCCTCTCCCCTCCTCCTAATTTCCCATCTAAGCTTGCTTCGGTTGCTGCAAACTTGAGTTCAAAGTGCAAAAGTACTGGCAAGAGACAGGGAGGAGAGAGCGGAGCAAAATGTTGTCCTTACAAGTGGCGCAGGCAAAATCCAACTTCTCCAGATTGTGTGTTCTTCCTTATGACTAACATTTGCCATCTTGGCTACCTACTGATATTGCTTAGCTATGTAGGTCCCTGGATTCATCTATGAAGCACTCTAAACCAAAGCTTCTGTGGCTCTTGCAGAAAGAAAATGTCACCATCATGGACCACCATTCTGCCACTAACTCCTTCATGAAGTACATGCAGAACGAGTACCGGATCCGGGGAGGATGTCCGGCTGACTGGGTTTGGCTTGTGCCTCCCATCTCAGGGAGCATCACAACTGTTTTCCACCAGGAGATGTTGAATTATATCCTCTCCCCTTTCTATTATTACCAGGTGAGCAAAACACATGTGCTCATAACTTCAATAAATGTTTCTCTCTCAGAAGATACTACTTTGGTGAATGTCATCTGAGCTGTAGCAGACCAACAAAATGGAAAAAGTCCTCTTTAGTTATACATTAAAATCTAGTAGTTGTCACTAGAGTTGTAAGGAAAGAAAGACTCCTCAGATCAGAAGTTTGTTTTTTGTGTGTATCAGTAGTGACTTGAGAAGCTGCAAGTCACTTCTGATGTGAGAGAATTGGCTGTCTGCAAAGACGTTGCCCAGGGGATGCCCAAGGGATGCCCGGATGTTTTACCATTCTTGTGGGAGGCTTTTCTCATGTCTCCGCATGGGGAGCTACAGCTGCCAAAGACAGTGCACCTGCGCTCTTCCCAGATTCAAACCACTGACCTGTTGGTCTTCAGTCCTACTGCCACCGGGGGTTCCAGACCAGAAGTGATTGTTATGACTAGTCACAATGGGTTTTGTCTTCCCAAAGGAAAGGCCATTGATTCAACTTGCCAAATTCAGTCTGCTGTGAGTCAAAAGGAAAAAAACAGGCGAAAAGTCCTTTAAGTTTAAGGATAAAAAAAGACCTGGGAGTCAGATTAAATTGAATTGACTTAAGCAACAGAAAGACAGGTTTTGTTGTCGAGCAATTTAGAATGGCTGTGGATTAGGTGCAAGCCATTGTGGGTTGCCTGGTGAGAAAGAGATGCCAATATTACAGAATAAATCTCACCAAGTTGAATAGTAAGCCACCGAGATGTTTATTTCATTCCAGCTGGAAAGGATGACGATTGCAGTAATCTGCCAAACAAACTGACATGCCCACTGGGCAAAGAGATACAACCTATATAAGCAAAAGTTCCCATGCCCACTCCTCTCCTCCGCTTCCAAACTGGCTTTGTTATGATTGTGACATCATCAAGCCAGCAGATGAGCCAATGGTGGCCTGAGCCCTGCTTTGGCTTCTCAGCCAATGGGGAGGAAGGGAGGCAGGCAACAGGTCCACAATGAAGAAATGTCCAGTTGACTGGTTTGAATGGCTAATATTTGCAAAATGGCTCAGCGATTGCTTTTTTTTTAGCCCTCAAGCTGGCCAGGCTATTGCCTTGACTTTCTTGAACATACATTTTTCATCTGGCTCAGAGGCCTGATCTTTTGTTCATTCGTTCAGCTCTGACAGCCCTCCCTCCCTCCACAGTCCACCAAAGGTTCATATAGATCAGTGAAATATCATAAAAGTCCATGAAAAGTTGATTAAAGGTTTCCAAAAGTTCATAGAAAGTCCATAAAAGTGCAAGGAGAGGGAGGGTCATTTCCAATATCAGTTTTGGATGAGCATTAAGATTACAGGTGTACCACAATTCCATAACAAATCTAAGGGGAAAGAGGAGTTGATGTGTTTCAGCTTGACCGTTTGAAATATCATAATGCTCTCTTTTTTCCCCAAGGTTGATGCGTGGAAAACCCATGTTTGGAAAGATGAGAGGCACACGCCCAGGAAACGGGAGATCAAGTTTCGCATCTGGGCCAAGTATGTATGCAAGACACAGGCTGATAGCATTGACCCAACAGACCTAGGGGTGCATCTAGAGTGCAACTTGACACCACTTGAACTGCCATGGCTCAATACAATGCCATCCTGGGAACTGTAGTTTTGTGAGCTTTTTAACCTTCTCTATCAAAGAGTGCTGGTGCTTTATCAAACGACAACTGCCATGATTCTATAGCATTGAACCATGGCTGTTAAAGCAATGTCACACTTCATTAGGTCTTGTTCATTTGTTCAGTTACTTCCGACTCTTTGTGACCTCATGGACCAGCCCATGCCAGAGCTCCCTGTCAGCCGTGGCCAACCCCCAGCTCCTTCAAGGTCAAGCCAGTCACTTCAAGGATGCCATCCATCCATCTTGCCCTTGGTCGGCCCCTCTTCCTTTTTCCTTCCATTTTCCCAGCATCATTCTCTTCTCTAAGCTTTCCTGTCTTCTCATGATGTGGCCAAAGGACTTCATCTTTGCCTCTAATATCCTTCCCTCCAGTGAGCAGTCAGGCTTTATTTCCTGAAGAATGGACTGGTTGAATCTTCTCACAATCCAAGGCACTCTCAGAACTTTCCTCCAACACCGCAGTTCAAAAGCATCTATCTTCCTTCGCTCAGCCTTCCCTAAGGTCCAGCTCTCACATCTGTAGGTGACTACGGGCAATACCATTGCTTTGACTATGCGGATCTTCGTTGCCAGTGTGATGTCTCTCCTCTTCACTATTTTATCGAGATTGGTCATTGCTCTCCTCCCAAGAAGTAAACGTCTTCTGGTTTCCTGGCTGCAGTCTGCGTCTGCAGTAATCTTTGCATCTAGAAATACAAAGTCTGTCTCTGCCTCCACGTTTTCTCCCTCTATTTGCCAGTTATCAATCCTTGTTGCCATAATCTTGGTTTTTTTTTATGTTAGTTGCAACCCAGCTTTTGCGCTTTCTTCTTTCACCTTGCTTAGAAGGCTCCTCATCTCCTCCTCGCTTTTGGCCATCAAAGTGATATCATCATTAAGGTTGTTAATATTTCTTCCAGCAATTTTTACCCCAGTCTTGGATACATCAAACCCCACACATTGCATGATGTGTTCTGCATACAAATTGAATAGGTTGGGTGAGAGTAGACAGCCCTGCTGTATGCCTTTCCCAATCTTGAACCAGTCTGTTGTTCCATGGTCAGTTCTTACTGTTGCCACTTGGTCCTTATACAGATACCACGGGAGAGAGACAAGGTGATTTGGTATGCCCATACATCACCAAGAACTTGCCACAATTTATTATGATCCATACAGTCAAAGGCTTTAGAATAGGTCTACAGTGTAGCTATTAAGTGGAAATGTTTTCTCTTTGCCAGGGCTGTGCTGTTTGCATCTGTGCTGATGCGCAAAGCCGTGGCACTCAGGATCCAAGCAACCATCCTCTATGCCACCGAAACAGGAAAGTCAGAAACACTGGCCCATAACCTTGGAGACCTATTCAACTGTGCTTTCAATGCCAAGGTAATTGATGTGTTTACCTTAATTTTTGAAGAAGAGAGGAAGAAAATATCAGATTTCTAGAAAGACAAATAGATTCAGGTTGTGTATTCTTTATCCAAAATACTTGGGACTAGAAGGGTGCTCCATAACCTGGTGCTCGCCATATGTTTAGGGTTAGATGTATCATCATCTTCATCATTATCATCACACATGGCCAACAGTAAGGAATGATGGAAATGTTGCAGTACAAAATACCTGGAAGGTGCTAGGTTGGAAAAGAATGCAAAATGCGTTTTTTCATACTTCTTCCTTGTATCCGATCTCATGAAGTCCACCTCCTTTTCTAGGTCATTTGTATGGACGATTACAACCTGATAGACCTTGAGAAGGAACATCTCCTCCTGGTGGTCACTAGTACTTTTGGAAATGGAGATTCTCCAAGCAACGGAAAAGTAATAATAATAATAATAATAATAATAATAATAATAATAATACAATAATAATAATATAAAAATGCAAAGGCTCTGGCATAAACCAGTGCAGGTGGTCCAAGTGGTCATTGGCACACTGGGTGCCGTGCCAAAAGATCTCAGCCGGCATTTGGAAACAATAAACATCGACAAAATCGCGATCTGTCACCTGCAAAAGGCCACCTGACTTGGATCTGCATGCATAATTCGAAAATACATCACACAATCCTAGACGCTTGGGAAGTGTTCGACTTGTGATTTTGTGATACGAAATCCAGCATATCGATCTCATTTGCTATGATATACTGTGTTTTTGTGTCAGGAAAATAATAATAATAATAATAATAATAATAATAATAATAATAATATACTTTATTACACCCTATCTTCCTGAGGGAACTCAGTACACATATACGGCAAGCATTCAATACCTTTATACAATCAGTACATAAACAGAGGTATAAACTTCCCATCTCCGGCATCTGGAGGCTATGCCCGACGCAGGCCATGGGGGGTCGCTCCATCATCCATGCCGAGCAGCTTTGTTGTCCTTAGACACTCTCCTGATTGAATCGCCAGCATGTTCACATGTGCAGCTTTTATTACCTCCCCGCCAAAGTGGTACCTATTTATCTACTCACATTGCTGTTTTTGAACTGAGCTGACAGTGGGAGCTCACCCCAAACTGAGCTTGAACTGTTGACCTTTTTGATAGGCAAAATTTTCTGCAGCTGGCAGTTTTAACCCACTGTGCTAAATAAATAAATAACAGAGGGAGGGGGGTTCCCGTTATAAATGGTGTTGCCAATGCACTCTAAACTACTGTTTGTTTTTATTGCAGATATTTCAGAATGCCCTATTGTCGACAAAACAACTAAGCAACAAATTCAGGTGACTGTTTGCTGGATCTTGCATCGACCACATTGTTGTTATACCCCATATTTGGGGCATCCACTGGTCTCTTTTCTATGAAGCTAACAAGAACTCCAAATAATTGTGCAGTGAAAGAGAATTAATGCATCTTTCCTCTTGGCACAGATATGGAGTCTTTGGCTTGGGTTCAAGCATGTATCCCGAGTTCTGCGCCTTCGCCTGGGCCATCTACCAGAAACTCATTCAGCTGGGGGCATCTCCAATCACCCCGATGGGTGAAGGGGATGAACTCAATGGGCAAGAGGAAGCTTTCCGAGCCTGGGCGGTGGATGCATTCAAGGTATTGACCATAACTCTGATGTGCAATCAATTGCCTTTGAGTTGGTATGGCCTATTGTGGGGGAACAGCTCCAGCGTAATAGTGTGCTGGATTGATGGAAAAGGAAGGGGAGACTAATTCATCACTAGCTTGGAACCTCAATAAGAAGGCCATGGGTTGGTTAAGAGCAATGTCAACTGCCATGGCTCAATGCTAGCGAATCCGGGGAGTTGTATTTTCACAAGGCCTTTCACTTTCTTGGCCAAAGAGTACTGGCACCCAGGGGTGGCTCAACCCATTATGCAAAGTAAGCATTTGCAGTATAGTTGATTTTGCCCAGGGACGCTCTTGGAAAATAGACCTTGACATATGCGAGTTGTAGTTACTGGGATGTATAGTTCACCTACAATCAAAGAGCATTCTGAACTCCACTAATGATGGAATTGAACCAAATATGGCACACAGAACTCCCACAACGAACAGAAAATATATATCAGTGATTGGTTGGGGGGGGGGCATCAAAATACTGTTTGCTTACCGTTGAAAATTACCTAGGGCCGCCTCTGCTGGCACCTCACCAAACTCCAACTCCCAGCAGTTCAAGCAGTATCACAGCCTTTAAAGGGTTTTAGAACAGCTGGTTAATCACCAGCAGCAGTAGATCTTACCAATCTTCTTAGCAGTTTGTCCTTCAGCCCAGCTCAGTGTCCACCTAAGCAGTTTGAAAACAGCTAGAGAAATGAGTCACTGCTTAAGCGGGGAGGTATTTTACGGCACCATAAAAGAAATACCTGCCATGGAGCTTGGCGATTCTGTCGGCTCCTTGGTTGATCACTATAACAGTGAGATGACCAAGGCGATAGACACGATCACTCCTGAACGCCCCATCTCGTTGCGTCGAGACACACCATCTCCTTGGTTCACCGAGGAGCTGGCTGTGATGAAACGCACGAGAAGGGGGCTAGAGTGCATATGGAGGAAATCTCGAGACATATCTGACCAAGCACGGGCTAAAGCCTCTCTTAGGGCTTATACCATGGCTATACGGGTAGCCAGGGAGTCTTTCACAACTGCCCGTATAGCATCTGCATCCAATAGATCATCGGAGCTGTTTCAGGTTGCAGGGGAGCTCCTTCACCCACCTGTGGTGGAGGGGACCTTCGATGACCCAACAACTTGGTGTTGCGAGTTTGCACACCATTTTGCAGGCAAAGTTGCTCAGATACACCTTGAGTTGGATTCCAATTTCATTACAGTGCCAGGGGAGGTGACTGAGGCATCTGCTTGTCCGATTTTGTGGGATTCTTTTAGGCTTGTTCTTCCTGAGACAGTGGAGGAGGTCCTTGGTGCTGTGAGGGCGACCACATCGGCTTTAGACCCTTGCCCGTCTTGGCTAATTAAATCGGCCAGGGATGGGTTAACTGATCGGTTTGTGTTGATCATTAATGCATCACTGAAGCAGGGTGTTTTTCCATCTCAACTAAAACAGGCTGTGGTCCGACCACTCCTGAAAAAGGCTTCCCTTGACTCCACAGTGCTGAACAACTACAGACCAATCTCCAACCTCCCTTTCTTGGGCAAGGTGCTGGAGCGGCCTCCCAGGTCCAGGGCTTTCTAGATGACATCAATTACCTGGACCAGTCACAGTCTGGCTTCAGGCCTGGCCACGGCACCGAGACGGCTTTGGTCGCCTTGGTGGATGACCTCCGCAGGGAACTGGACAGGGGAAGTGTGACCCCGTTGGTTCTCTTGGACATCTCAGCGGCTTTTGATACCATCAATCATGGTATCCTTCTGGGATGACTCTCTGAGATGGGTCTYGAGGGCACGGTTCTGTCGTGGCTCCGGTCCTTCCTGGAGGGTCGATCCCAGATGGTGAAGCTGGGAGACGCCTGCTCAGACCCCTGGCCTTTGACCTGTGGGGTCCCGCAAAGCTCTATTCTGTCTCCCATGCTTTTTAACATCTACATGAAACCGCTGGGAGAGGTCATCTGGAGTTTTGGAGTTGGGTGCCATCTCTATGCAGATGATGCACAACTCTACTACTCCTTTCCACCTAATTCCAAGGAAGCCCCTCAGGTGCTGGATGAGTGCCTGGCCATTGTGGTTCTCTGGATGAGGATGAACAAGCTGAAGATTAATCCTGACAAGACAGAGGTCCTTCTAGTCGATCGTAAACCGGATCGGGGTATAGGGTGGCAGCCCGTGCTGGACGGGGTTACACTCCCCCTGAAGTCACAGGTCCGCAGTTTGGGTGTCCTCTTGGAGTCATTACTTACACTTGAAGCTCAGGTGTCGGCAGTGGCCGGGAGGGCCTTTGCACAATTGAGACTCGTGCTCCAACTGCGACCATACCTCGTGAAGGCGGATCTGGCCAGGGTGGTCCATGCCTTAGTCACCTCCAGATTGGACTACTGTAATGTGCTCTACGTGGGGCTGCCCTTGAAAACGGCCCGGAAATTCCAACTGGTCCAACGGGTGGTGGCCAGGTTGTTAACTGGTGCTCCTTACAGGTAGAGGTCAACCCTCCTGTTTAAGGAGCTTCATTGGCTGCCATTCATTTTCCAGTCCCAATTCAAGGTGCAGGTGCCTAACGTGACCGCATCTCCGTGTATGAACCCACACGATCTCTCTGATCATCTGGGGAGGCCCTGCTCATGGTCCCACCTGCTTCGCAAGCGCGATTGGTGGGGACGAGGGACAGGGCCTTCTCCATGGTGGCCCTCGACTCTGGAACTCTCTCCCCAAGGACATCAGACAAGCCCCAACATTGGCAGTCTTTAGGAAGAGCTTGAAGACGTGGTTGTTCCAGTGTGCATTCCCAGAATAGGAAACTCCAAGCGTCATGTCCCAAATGCACTTTACTAGAGATTTAAGATTGTCTGCACACCGCACCTATCTCCAAAAACCTATCCATTTCACCTGTCATGCCCAGCATTTTAATTTTTTTTAATCATTACATTTGGCCTGGCCTTAGTTTAAATGTGTCATGGTGTTATTGTCTAATGTTAATTGCTATTGTTTTAATGTTTATTGCTTGTTTTATGAGTTTATTTATTGTTATGTATTTGTTATAAAACATTGATGTGTTGGGCCTCGGCCTCTTGTAAGCCGCACCGAGTCCTTTGGAAGATGTTAGCGGGGTATAAATAAAGGATTATTATTATTATTATTATTATTATTATTATTATTATTATTATACCAGAAAATGCCGGCAATCAAAGGAAGGAGAAAGTCTGTGATCAAGGCTCTTTGTCATAGAGGATGGAGCAACAACCCCTCCCTGTGGCTGGAATCAAGGACAACCTCAAAGATGCTGAAATTGTTGAAAATACAGATATAATACCTCTATCTGTTGTCCTATTTGTTTACTGACCCTGAATGTTAGCCGTGTATGTGTTATGTGATCCGCCCTGACTCCCCTTCGGGGTGAGAAGGATGAAATATAAATTCTGTAAATAATAATAATAATAATAATAATAATAATAATAATATCAAACTGCAAAAAATCGACTATGTAGATGCACCCATAGTTGCTTATAGGCCCTTCTAACCCAATGTCTTCATATCAATAACTCACTGGTAACCTCTCTCTCATTCTATTATTTTATAAAGACGTCCTGTGAAATTTTTGATATCCACTGCAAGCACAGGATCCTATTACCCAAAGCGTTTACAAGTAATGAAACCTGGAACCCCAAGGATTTTAGGATTGCATATGACACTCAACCCCTAGATTTGTCCAAAGGTGGGTTCTCCCCATATCCTCCAATGTTGTTGTAGCTTTGTATTTGATGATTTCTTAATGCATGCAATATTCTCTAGTAATTAAGCCTTTTGATCCACACCAGAATTGTCTACTAGGCTAATTATGGCTGCATTTTATGAATTTTAATGTTTTACATTGTAATTATGTATGTGCGTGATTGTAACTCTATGGACTTATTATTTTAGATTGATGTATTGTCTGCATTTTATTAGCTGCCCCAAGTCCCTTTGGGGAGATGGTGGCAGGGTAGAAATAATAATAATAATAATAATAATAATAATAATTGCTATTACTATTTGTAATTTTAATAGTTAAGTAATTTGGAAAAAGGGAGGGCATTGAATCCCTGGTGGTTACTTAAATATTTTGTTGTTCTTTTGTGCCTTTATGTCAATTCCAAATTTTGGGGACACTATCTTTGCCTTCTTCTGAGGCTGAGAGTGTGTTGCTTGTCCATGGTCATCCATCGGCTTTTAATGGCTGACTCAGCAAGTTTAATGGTAATCTAAGTATATATTTCTACCTATTTTCTTACAGCACTGGGGGACATCCATGGGAAAAGTGTTGTCCTGATGGAGCTCACATCTCGGAAGAATCTGCAAACGCCAAAGTCTAGGTATATTCCTCAAAAACTCATAATTTCTGTTGTTGCTGTTGTTGTTTACAACTTCTACAGTGTCAGACTGCATTAATTCTACAATCCAAAAGCACTTGTAGTCAAGACATGTTTTATTTTTGTTGGATAGCGTTTTCCCATAAATAGCTGGGGACGGTTCAAAGAGTCCATCTTTCCTCATCCTTTCTGTCCCACAGTCCCAACCTGGAAATTGTCCAATATTTGACTTTAAAGACAGTGTTTCTCTTTCTGTTCCAGCCGCGTCACCCTCCTCATTAAGCTTTCTTGCGAGGCCAACCAGGGAGTTAAGTATCTGCCTGGGGACCATATGGGCATCTTCCCTTCCAACCCCAAAGCCCTCATCGATGGCATCATTTCCCATATTACAGATGCTCCTCCGACCAACAAGATAATTCGTTTGGAAACGCGGAGTGACCGTAAGTGCAGGGCCCTTTAAATGGAGCAATGGCGTTTGATTGGGTTGAGTGGGCACTAATGCAATTTGCAGACAGTATTGACTCTAGGTGGAGCAGTGGGTTAAACCACTGAGCTGCTGAACTTGTTGACCAAAAGGTTGCAGGTTCGAATCCGGGGAATGGGGAGAGTTCCTGCTTCTGCCAACCTAACAATTTGAAAACATGCAAATGTGAGTAAATCAATAGGTACTGCTCAGTCTGGAAGATAATGGCAGTCATGCCGGCCACATGAACTTGGAGATGTCTACGGACAATGTTGGCTCTTTGGCGTAGAAATAGAGAAGAGCACCAACCTCCACAGTTGGACACACCTGGACATAATGTCAGGGGAAGACCTTTACATTTGCCTATTGACCTAGATATATTGGATGTATTTCCTAAAGCTGGTAACAGAAGGGTGCCAGCATTGGTGTCTTCAGTGAATTATGATGGATGGGAGCACGGCAAGCAAATGTGATTGGTACCATACAGAACCTGATTGGAAATATTATACAGGGGGAAAATTACAGTACAAGAGCCTCAAGGAGAAAAAATTGGACAGAAACACTATGTTACTAGCTTGGGTACTGTCGTTGCCCGAATTATTTCAAAAAGTCATTTTTTTAATTGTACCAAAATTTCTGTTCCATTTCTATCTCATCCTGAGTTTTTATCATTTTATCTTGTATATGTGGCCCACTTATTATGATTGTGATTTATCTCTCACTGTATTTTTTGCACTGTTTTATTGTATTCTTATGTTTTATTTATTTTATTGTGATGTTTATTCTGTTTTTGGTTTTATTCTGTTGTAATGCACTACTGGACTTGACCTCATGTAAGCTGCACTGAGTCTCCTCTGGGGAGGTGGTGGCAGGGTATAAATAAAGTTTATTATATCATATTAATTATAATGGTTGTGGGTGAACTACAACTCACATCATGCCAGGTTAACCCTGAGAAACTCCATCAGTATTGTTGTTACAGTTTGTTATGTTGGGCAAGTTTGCTCTGTGTGTGTGTGTGGGGGGGGGGGCAGTGTGCTCTCTGGCTACAGGGTAAACGACAACTTTCACTATGGTGAGTCTGTCCCCTCAAACTCCTCCAGTACGTTGAGTTAGTCCTGGGGGTTCTGTGTGCCAAGTTTGGTCCAGGTCCATCATTGGTGGAGGTCACAGTTTTAACTCCCAGAAATGAATGTCAGTTCCTCCCAAACCCTTCTAGTGATCAAATTTTGGCATATCAGGTCTGTGTGCCAATTTTGGTCCATATCCATTTATTTGGGTTCACAGTGCTCTCTGGATATAGGCAAACTACAACTCCCCCAAATCATGGGAAATTTTCTCCAAAGACCTCCAGTATTTTGCTGGTCCAATTCCATCTTTGGTGGAATTCAGTGTGCTCTTAGATTTCAGATGAACTATAAATCCCAGTACCCAAAACTCCAAAATGTCCAGGCTAATTCCCCTCAATATCCACCCGTATTCAAATTTGGGCATATTGGGTATGCATGCCAAGTTTGGTCCAGATCAAACCATAGTGCGCTCTGGATGTAGGTGAACTATAACTCCTATAAAACTCTCCAAAGACCTCCAGTATGTTTTGTTGGTCATGGGGGTCCTGTGTGCCAATTGAGTTCCAGGTCCAATGTTGGTGGAGTTCAGAGTGCTCTTAGATTGCAGGTGAACTATACATCCCATTATCTACAACTCCTGTAAATCATGATGAATTCTCCCCAATCCTCTCTAGTATGTTCATTTGTTGATCAATCCCTCTGTTTGCTGTGTGCCATAGAAAAGAATAGGAAAGAGGCAGTGGATGGGATCATGCAAATTCCACGCCAATGGGGAGTGTCAGAAACACTGGGATGTCTGTAGGGGAGGAAAAACAGAAAATCTAGGATGAAATGAACCCTGTATGAAAGTCTTCACTTGGGTGTTGGGCAGGATGGTGTTTGTGGAGGACATTGACAGGGCTCTTGGACATGTCCATGGCGCTAACTATAACCTGCAAGGTCATTGGAGGGAGGCCCATTGGTGTCTCCTGAGTAGTGGAAGCTATAACTGTTTGTGGAGGTAGGAGCTTGTTTGTGTCAGTGGACACCCCAGTCACACACAAACATACATATTTTCACTTTTAGATGTATATAGATGTGGACCCAGTTGACATCATTATGGTTCCTCCCATGTCCCCCAATGGCTAAAGGGTGATACCCTCCAAAATCACCAAAACAGAGAGAGAAATTGGGTGGAAAACACATTTGAAATTCAGCAGGGGAATATCAAGAAAAGATCCAAAGTATATAGGCAGTTAATTTCATGCTTAATTTCAAGGAACGGAAGCATATATGCAGTTCAGTCAAGGCTGGAATGAACTCAAATTAAGTAGCTGAAGCTGGGAACAACTCCTTTGGCAAGGAAACACTCCATTTGATCCGTTCCTCCCCTTTGACCTTTGCAAGGCCATTTCCTCTTTGGAAACTCTGAAGATGATGCCTTCTTCTCCTTCTTCTTCCTCTCCCGCTTCCTCTTCTATCCCAGGTGGATACTGGACCGGAGACAAGAAGCTCCCCGCTTGTACCTTTGCTCAGGCGCTGATGCATTTCCTGGACGTCACCAGCCCTCCTTCCCAGCGGTTTCTCCGAACGCTGTCCCAGTGGGCCAAGGATGACTGGGAGAAGGAGCGGCTCAACCACTTGTGCCATGTGAGTCAGCACTGGGCACTACTCTGTGAACCAGGGATTATGTGTTGATCTTACACTGCAACTCCCAGCAGCCAACATGGGAAGGAAGGCTTGGGTCTCCAGCCCTTGCTTAAATGCATAGACCATATAACCCCATAAGAAGCATTGGACATGCTGTTCGAGTATGATAAGACTCAGTAATAGAATTCTACTTAAAAAGTCATTTAGAGAGAGGGAAGCAGGCTGCTGCTGGTCTGGAGATGATGGGACTCAATGATAGAGTTCTGTTTACAAAGCCAATTCAGAGAGAGGGAAACAGGCTGCTATGCTTTGGTGTTCTTGGATTATTTATTTATTTATTTATTTATTTAATGTAATTCTACCCCGCCCTTCTCAACCCCCGAAGCGGGACTCAGGGCGGCTTACAAAAAGGCACAATTCGCTGCCTACACAATAATACAAAAAACGTATAAAAACAGCAGTTAAACAGTTATAACAATTAAAGCAATCAATATATATCACAATCAATAACCAATCTCATGCTCAGCGGTTGCCAACTCAGAGTCCATACTACATTCCACATTGTCTATTCCTATCCGTCGTCGTAGTCCTATCCGTTATCTGCCAGATTGCTCAAATGCCTGGTCCCAAATCCATGTTTTTAACTTCCTTCTAAAGGAAAGGAGGGATGTCGCTGATCTAATTTACCCGGAGAGTTAATTCCATAGGTGAGGGGCCACCACCGAGAAGGCCCTGCTCCTCGTCCCCGCCAATCTCACTTGTGATAGAAGCGGGGCTGAGAGCAAGGCCTCCACAGAAGATCTTAAACTCCGAGGTGGGATGTAGAGGGAGATGCGTTCTGACAGATATGCTGGGCCGGAACCGTATAGGGTTTTGTAGGTCAAAACCAGCACTTTGAATTGTGCTCGGAATTGGATCGGCAGCCAGTGGAGCTGACATAGCAGAGGGGTGGTATGCTCCCTGTATGACACTCCGGTGAGTAATCTAGCCACCGCCCGTTGGACTAATTGAAGTTTCCGAACAGTCTTCAAAGGCAACCCCACGTAGAGTGCGTTGCAGTAATCTAATGGGATGTAACAAGAGCGTGGACCACTGTGGCCCATCCGACTTCCCAAGTACGGGTGCAGCTGGCACACAAGTTTTAATTGTGCAAAAGCTCTCCCGGCCACCTCCGAGACCTGGGGATCCAGGCTCAGCGATGAGTCCAGGATCACTCCCAAGCTGCGAACCAGCGTCTTCAGGGGGAGTGTAACCCCATCTAACACAGGCTGTAACCCTATGCCCTGTTCGGCCTTATGACTGACCAGTAGGACCTCTGTCTTGTCTGGATTCAATTTCAATTTGTTAGCTCTCATCCAGTCCGACACAGCAGCCAAGAACCGATTCAAGGGCTGGACAGACTCTTTGGTGACAGGTGAGAAGGAGTGACAGATTTGGACATCATCTGCGTAGAGATAACATCTCATTCCGAAACTCCGAATGATCTCCCCCAGCGGCTTCATGTAGATGTTAAATAACACTGGGGACAGGATCCCTCAAGAAAGGATCGGAGCCATTGCAGAGCAGTGCCCCCGAGCCCCATTTCTATGAGGCGCCCCAGAAGGATACCGTGATTGACGGTATCGAAGGCTGCTGAGAGGTCCAGCAGAACTAACAGGGACACACTCCCCCTGTCCAGTTCCCAGCGAAGATCATCTACCAAGGCGACCAAGGCTGACTCCGTTCCATGTCCCGGCCTAAAGCCAGACTGTGCCAGATCTAGATAATCAGTGTCTACCAGAAATCCCTAGAGTTGTGCTGCCACCACACGTTCCATGACTTTGCCCAGGTAAGGGAGGTTGGAAACTGGCCGATAGTCGTCTAATTGAGTGGGATCCAGTGATGGTTTCTTCAACAGCGGTTTTATGATAGCTTGTTTTAAGCTCGCTGGAAACTTTCCCTCCTGTAAGGAGGCATTAACCACCACCTTCACCCACTCTGCCAAACCCCCTCTGGCTTCTTTTATCAGCCAGGATGGACAGGGGTCTAAGATGCATGTGGTAGGTCGCACCTCTCCAAGGATGCTACTGATCTGGGGATGATAGGACTCCGGGAAATGATGCTACTTATTACAAAGCTAGTTCAGAGAGAGAGAAGCAGGCTATTCCTGGTCTGGGAATGATGGAACTCTCTGATAGAGCGCTACTTGGAAAGACAGTTTAGAGGGAAGGAAACAGACTACTTATTGATGAATGTTGGGACTCAGTGATAAAGTGCTACTTAAAGAGGGAAGCAGGCTGAGTTTTGTTTTTTCTTGGAAGCTGCTGGCCTCGGGATGATGGGACTCAGTGATAGAATGCTACTTACAAAGCCAGTTCAGAGGAAGAGTTTGGTTTTGTTTGGATGCTGCTGATCTGGAGTCTCTCCCTCCATAGAGCTTGGAGGAGTATAACAAGTGGAAGTTCTACCGGAGCCCCACCATCCTGGAGGTCTTGGAGGAATTCCCCTCCGTTGAGGTCTCAGCCGCTTTTCTGTTGTCCCAGCTGCCTTTGCTGAAGCCCAGGTATTATTCCATCAGTTCATCACAGGATTGGGACCCCAAAGAGATTCATCTGACCGTTGCCTTGGTCGCCTACAAGACCCAAGGTAAGCCATCCTTTCTCCAGTGGGTTTTGAAGACCAACATATTTTTGTGTGCATCTAATCCTGTTTGACCTCACCTGAACTGGCATGACTCAATGTGTGTAATGCTGGGAGCTGTACATATACAAGGTCTTTCTACGAATCTTAGTATTCCATCACAGTGGTGTCGAGCGGCACTAATTTGACAATATAGACGCACCCATAAACATGTTTAAAACACCTGTCATTTTCCTCCTCTTTTTCTCAGATGGCAACGGTCCAGTGCATCATGGGATATGCAGTACTTGGCTAAACACTATCAACTTGAAAGAGAGCATCCCATGCTTTGTTTGCAGGTAATTTTAAACCAAAAACTATCCAGCAGGGAAACTGTTGAACTCATAGTTTTAAAAGGATACTTGAGGGAAGCATATTTTGAAATGCAAATTAATTCTGTTTATAATTTAGGGTGATAAAAATGCCTTGGGTGGGCTTTACAAAACAATGACTCCTTGTGGAGATTATAATTGCTAGAATGACTTTATTGAGATTCAGCGATGCATGTAGCTAGCATGAAGACTACCTGGACGAATGCTCATTCTTTGAATAGCATAACTTTATTTATTTATTTATTTTATTTACTGTATACCGCCTTCCTCAGCCTTTTGGCGACCCAAGGTGGTTTACAGGAAACAAGTAATATACATATTATCAAAATGCACATAAAAACATTATATACAATATAAAACCACAATAGAAATAATAAGCAACAGCTGGGAGACAGGTGTCCTCTTTCCTCTTAGCTGGCTTGGGAGGGGGAGAGTAGCAGGAGGTTTTCCCCCTTCTCCTCCTGAGGTGGCAGGCAGATGTAGTAAGCAACAGCCAGGAGATAGGTGTTTTTAAAGTCTCTTTCTCAGTCCCCTTCCTCCTCTTAGCTGGCTTTCCTCATTCTCCTCCTGAGGTGGCAGGCAGATGTAGTATTGTTGCTGGGGGGAGGGGCGCCCAGCCGATGACCCAGGAGACATGGTGGAAATCTGTCTTCCTGGCTGCCCCTCTTCATTCTGGCTTCATCTCCCTTCTGCTGTGTTATTTAGCGCTGATGGATTTCGACTTCCCAAAGATCCCCAAAAACCATGCATTTTGATTGGCCCAGGGACAGGGATCGCGCCGTTTAGAAGCTTCTGGCAACAACGTCTCTATGACCTGGAAATGAAAGGTAAAGAGGTGACGGGTAGTGCTTTACTTATCTGTGTTAGCAATTCTATTTGAATGCAGAGAGAGGCAGTTAATAAATAAAAACATTATCCATTCATCCGTTTGCTGTAGGCACCCAGGGAAGAGGGATGATACTCCTGTTCGGCTGCCGGCACGCCAACCTGGACCACCTCTACAAAGACGACATGGAGGAAATGCTCTGGAAAGGCATCTTCCAAGGAATCTACACTGCATACTCCAGAGAGCCGGGCCGTCCCAAAGTAAGGTTCCGTAACATAGCTTGGAAAGAAGGACAGATTTGGGGCATCTTAAGAGGAAGGGGCCAGATCAAATTAGAAAACGTGGGAGGCTTAAAATAAAATTTGAAATAACACCTGAACTTTATCTGCTTGGAATGATTAGATAATCAACTCGATAGAAAATGGGGAATGTTATTGTTATACATGACAATGGCAGCAAGAATGATCGATGCTCAATAATGGAAAGACTCTAGGTGGTTGTTATACCTGACAATAGTAGAATGATATATGTTCAAAGATGGAAAGACTCAAGGTTATTGTTATACATGAAAATGGCAGCAAGAATGAATGATGCTCAAAGATGGAAAGACTCAAGGTTATTGTTGGTTGCCTTAGTGGTCACCTTAGTGAATGATGTACGCTGGAAGCTAGAGAGGGAGAGTGTGTCCCTGTTAGTTCTGTTGGACCTCTCAGCGGCCTTCGATACCGTTGACCATGGTATCCTTCTGAGACGCCTCACACTGCTTTGCAGTGGCTCCAGTCCTTCCTAGAGGACTGTTTCCAGATGGTGTTATTGGGGGACTCCTGTTCAACCCCACAATCATTGTCTTGTGGGGTTCATCAGGGCTCAATACTGTCTCCCATGTTGTTTAACATGGGGGAGATCATCTGGAGCTTCGGGGTGCGGTGCCATCTGTACGCAGATGATGTCCAACTCTCTCACTCCTTTCCACCTGCTACTAAGGAGGCTGTTCAGGTCCTGAGCCGGTGCTTGGCTGCTGTGACGGTCTAGATGAGGGCGAACAAATTGAAATTGAATCCAGACAAGGCAGAGGTACTCCTGGTCAGTTGTAAGGCCGAACAGGGCACAGGGTTACAGCCTGTACTAGATGGGGTTACACTCCCCTGAAGACGCAGGTTCACAGCTTGGGTGTGATCGTGGATTCATCACTGAGCCTGGAACCCAAGGTTTCGGCGGTGACCAGGGAAGCATTTGTACAGTTCAAACTTGTGGCCCAGCTTTGCCCATACCTTGGGAAGTCTGACTTGGCCTCGGTAGTCCACGTTCTGGTTACATCCCATATAGACTATTGCAACGTGTTCTACATGGGGTTGCCTTCGAAGACTGTTTGGAAGCTGCAAATGGTCCAACGGACGACAGCCAGGTTGTTAACAGAAGCATACAACTACTCTGTTGCGCCAGCTCCACTCGTTGCCAGTTTGCTTCCGGGCACAATTTAAAGTGCTGGCTTTAGCCTATAAAGCCCTAAACGGTTTTGGTCTAACTTACCTATTTGAACGTTTATCTCCTTATGGACCATCTAGGACACTAAGATCTTCTGGGTAGGCCCTGCTCTCGGTTTCGTCTTCCTCACAGATGTGTTTGGTGGGGATGAGAGACAGGGCCTTCTCAGCAGTGGCTCCTTGACTGTGGAATGCTTTGCCTAGAGATATAAGATCATGCCCCTCCCTCCTGACATTTCAAAGAAAGGTGAAAACCTGGCTTTTTGAGCATGCCTTCTCAAATAGTTATACAGTATCATGTAACCACTTGAAGACAAAACTGAATAATGGTTTGTTATGGATACACTCATGATAATGTTTTAAAGGCTTTGTATGGTTTTTATATTTTTATATAGAATCATAGAATCATAGAATCAAAGAGTTGGAAGAGACCTCATGGGCCATCCAGTCCAACCCCCTGCCAAGAAGCAGGAATATTGCATTCAAATCACCCCTGACAGATGGCCAGCCAGCATCTGTTTAAAAGCTTCCAAAGAAGGAGCCTCCACCACACTCCAGGGCAGAGAGTTCCACTGCTGAACGGCTCTCACAGTCAGGAAGTTCTTCCTCATGTTCAGATGGAATCTCCTTTTTGTAGTTTGAAGCCATTGTTCCGTGTCCTAGTCTGCAAGGAAGCAGAAAACAAGCTTGCTCCCTCCTCCCTGTGGCTTCCTCTCACATATTTATACATGGCTATCATATCTCCTCTCAGCCTTCTCTTCTTCAGGCTAAACATGCCCAGTTCCTTAAGCCGCTCCTCATAGGGCTTGTTCTCCAGACCCTTGATCATTTTAGTCGCCCTCCTCTGGACACATTCCAGCTTGTCAATATCTCTCTTGAATTGTGGTGGTGTGGTCTAACCAAAGCAGAATTGTTTGCTAATGTTTTTAGCAGTATTTTATGATTGTTTTATTTGTTGTAATTCTTGTGGCATCAAATTGTTGCCAATTGTGAATCACTCCAAGTTGCCTCTGGGCTGAGAGGGGCAGTATATAAATGTAGTAAGTAAGTAAGTAAGTAAGTAAATAAATACATAACAATGGCAGCAACAATGATCTATGCTCAAAGATGAAAAGACTCAGTGACACAAGAAGATTCGCTTCTGAAAATAAACAAACTTATGGAAATGGATAAACGTGGCATGTGAAATACTTAAAAATATAGGGTTGTTTCACTGCCTGGATTCAGCAGATCCAGTATTTAGCAGAGAAGTTTAAAGACTTGTAAAATTACAGCTCCCAGGATTCCATAGCATTGTTCCATGGCAGTTAAAGAGTTGTCAAAATGCATCAATTCTAAGATGCACTCTTAGGCGTTGCTGGTCATCGCACCAAGCAGAAGTTGCAATGTAATGTATTCTCTAATAAGCATACTGAGGGTCTGCAGACCTCCTCTTTCATTTTCCTCTCAGACTCAATTCCGTATAAATTTTGTGAATTCTTTACCAATAAGTATATGGTATTACATTTTTTGGCTGTGATGAAAAAGAGAATTACAAGAAGTGCTGAGAGCTAACTGTTGAGTTCCCTTCCACAGGTTTATGTCCAAGATCTTCTTCAGAAGGCTCTGGCATCCAAAGTGTGCCAACTCCTACATGAGGAGGAAGGTCACCTGTATGTCTGTGGGGATGTCCGCATGGCCAGAGCCGTGGCCAAAACCATGAAGGAGATGTTTGCTAAGCAGCTGGGCTTAACGGAAGAGCAAGCGGAGGACTACTGCTTCCAGCTGAAGGTAAGCAGATGGAAAAGTAGAATGCGACTTAGGTAAAATGAGGTGGGCACCAAATTTTTGTGGTCTGGCCCGAATAGGTACCCACCTTTACACTGTGACCCATGGTTTGAATAAGACATGGGTCACATTGTAAAGTTGGAGACCCTGTTGGGACCAGACAACAAAGTTATGGTGTCTACCAATCTCCTTCTACCTAGAGAAGAGAACTAGGTTGACTATTGAATCTTTGGACAATCCATGGTTCACAATGTAAAGGTGGAGACCCCCTTAGGTTCAGACCACCAAGTTATGGTATTTATGAACCTCATTCTACCTAGAGAAGTCAGGTAGGTTGACTATTGAGTCTTTAGGCAACCCATGGATCACAATGTAAAGGTGGAGACTCCCTTGGGGCCAGTCAACAAAGTTTTGGTGTCTACCAACCTGATTCTGCTTAGAAAAGCCATCTAAAACCAATAAGCCCTTGTCCAACACCAGGAGCACACAACATTGCACTCCAGTAAGAGGGAACAACAATGGAGTTGCTACTTAATGGTTGAGCTGGACATAGGTCCTATCAGAGTAAGGAAGAGTCTGATTATGGACCTATATCAAGCTACTATTCGCTTGATATACAATCTTCTAGTTGTTTTGGGATAGGCAACAGAAAGAAAGTCCTTGAGATGTTTTAGGTGACAGTAACCATCAGCTCCAACCAAGCTGGACTGGCATGTTTTCACCTTTCATGGGGTCCGTCTGTATTAAGAACTGATACAAGAACAATAAAAATGCTACCAAGAGTGGTAAATTCCATTGTATCATTTTGTTGTAACTTTTACAGAGACAAAAGCGATACCATGAAGACATATTTGGAGCGGTGTTTGCACACGAGACCCAAAGAGACACGAGACTCAGACCCAGCTTCGAATCTCCAAATCCACTAACATTTTAGCTGTATTTTTGCACATATGCTCCTTTTCCTATGTTATGGGGAGCCAAATTGGGCTTTCTCTCCAAAATTTTGGAGGTGAATCAGTACAATTTGGCTCCCAAAACCCAGCCCCTGTTTTTTGGAGACAAGACACCTTTTATTTAATGCTATTTATTCTATCAGATCCTTCGTTGTTTGTGTATATTGTATGGGAAGAGGTCAGTTGTATGTATTTTTAAAGAATCTATTGCTGGACAAATGCTCATAAATTTGGGAGTTGATGACTGAGTTTGAACTCTTGGTTTCCCAGAATTCTAGGCCTTGTCTACACTTACCAGATAAATTGGGGTTAAAGTGCCCTGGAGAGTTAACCTAGATTAATTTCTCCCATTTCTAAAAACGTTAATACAACTCGCAGTTGATTGGTTGGGAATTATAGCATTTATACAGCTGATTATCCGGTTTTTTTTTAGTTAACCTATAAACTGTTTTGATTTTGTAAGAGAAATAAATAATTATTCCTGCTGTGGAAGGGTCTGATTATGGTTTTGTCAGTTTTGCATGCCGTTTTGTCAAACACACAAAAACTGTCAAGCAAAAGAAGCCATTTAGGATATCACTCGTAACATTTATCTTCTATCTTCTTCTGCCTTCTATCATCTTCTATCTTCTATCATCGTCCATCTTCCATCATCTTCCATCTTCCTCGATCTTCCTCCATCATCCTCCATCATCTTCCAACTTCAATCTATCTTCTTCTTCTTCTTCTTCTTTTTCTTCTTCTTCTTATTAAACTTTATTTGTACCCCGCTAGCATCTCCCGAAGGATTCGATGCGGCTTACACAGGCCGAGGCCTCAACACACAACATAACAATAAAATCTAAGCAAATTAAACAAGTACTTTGGCCACATCATGAGGAGACAGCAAAGCCTAGAGAAGACAATTATGCTGGGGAAAGTGGAAGGCAAAAGGAAGAGGGGCCGACCAAGGGCAAGATGGATGGATGGCATCCTTGAAGTGACTGGACTGACTTTGAAGGAGCTGGGGGTGTTGACGGCCGACAGGGAGCTCTGGCGTGGGCTGGTCCATGAGGTCACGAAGAGTCGGAGACGACTGAACGAATGAATAACAACAAATCAAACAATTAAATCAGAATAAAGCAAAGTAAACAACAGGGACAATACACTAAAACACAATAAAACTGGGCCGGGCCAGAAGGTGGGTACAAAGATTAAAAGTGCTGATGTGACAGGAGGTGTATAAAGGGCTTCTAGGGCAAGTGCGATGTGCGATGTGCAGCAATCATAGTTTCTGATAAAGTGCTTATGGGACTTGGTAGTGGAGATTTCCTAATCTTATCCATATCCATAATAAAAGTTAAAATATACATGTGTGTGTGTGTGTGCGTCCACTTGCACAAGCAGGCTCCTGACTCCACAAACAGCTACAGCTCCCACTACTCAGGAGACACAAAAGGCCGTCCCTCAAATGACATCATAAACATGTACAAAAGCACTGCCAATGTCCTATATAAACACCATACTGCCCACCACTCAAGGTTTACATACAGGGACAATTTAATCCTAGATTTTATGTGTTTCCTCCACCACAGACCACAGTGTTTTTGACTCTCTCCATTGGTACGGAATTTGCATAACCCCGCCCACTGCCTCTCCCTCAACCCTTTCCTATTCTTTTCTGTGGCACATAGCAAACAGAGGAATTGATCAGCAAATGAACATACTAGATAGGTTTGGGGAGAATTCATCATGATTTACAGGAGTTGTAGGTACTGGGATGTACTGTAGTTCACCTGCAGTCTAAGAGTTGAATTCCACCAATGATGACACACAGAAGCCCCGTGTCTTCTGGACATCTTTGGAGGGATTTATAGGATTGTAGTTCACTGGTGGGCAGGCCCGTAGCCAAGATTTTTATTCGGGGGGGGGGGGGGGGGGGGGGGGCGGGAGGCTGGTTCTGAGTGAAAGAGGGTCTACCCTAGCAAACCTTTTGTATAGTTACCCCAATACCACCATGCATATGAGATATATTGAGCATGGTGATCAGATCATGATATGAATAAACATAACAGTACCAGTAAGGCCTTTTGCGGACCACCATGAGAATTTCGGGGGGGGGGGGGCTGAAGTGCCCCCCTCCCCCCCCCCCCCCCCTACATGCCTGCTGGTGGGTTTTGAGGGGAATGGTCTGGACATTTTGGAGTTGTAGGTACTGGGATGTATAGTTCACCTGCAATCAAGGAGCATTCTGAACACCAAAGATGGAATTGGACCAAACTAGGCACACAGAACCCCCATGACCAGCAAAAAATACTGGAGGACTTTGGGGAAGATTCCTCTTGATTTGGGGGAGTTGTAGTCTACATCCAGAGAGCACTGCGAATCTAAACAGCAATGGATCTGGACCAAACTTGACACACAGACCTGATATGCCAAAATGTGATTACTGGAGGGGTTTGGGGGAACTGCCTTCCCTTTTGGGAGTTGTAGTTCACCCACAACCAGAGAAACTATGACCTGCACCTATGATGAACCTGGACCAAACTTGGCACACAAACCCCCTGACTAACTCAATCTGCTGGAGGGTTTTAAGGGGAGTGACTCACCATAGTGGGAGTTGTAGTTTACCCTACAGCCAGAGAGCACACTGGATGCCACCGATGCATCTAGAGCAAACTTGCCCAACATAACAAACTAAGTACTGATGGAGTTTCACGGGGGTTAACCTGGCATGATGAGAATTGTAGTTCACTCAGAAACTTATGCATTTTGTACAATTAACAAATTTACTTTTTCAAATAACCTGGGCAAATAACCCTGTACCTAAGCTATATGGAGCCCCCGGTGGCGCAGTGGGTTAAAGCGCTGAGCTGAGCTGCTGAGCTTGTTGCCCGAGAGGTTGCAGGTTCAAATCCAGGGAGTGGTGTGAGCTTCCGCTGTCAGCCCCAGCTTCTGCCAAAGTAGCAGTTCGAAAACATGAAAATGTGAGTAAATCAATTGGTACTGCTCCGGCAGGAAGGTAACGGCGCTCCATGCAGTCATGCTGGCCACATGACCTTGGAGGTGTCTATGGACAACACCAGGTCTTCGGTTTAGAAATGGAGACGAGCACCACACCCCAGAGTCGGACACGACTGGACTTCATGTCAGGGGAAAACCTTTACCTTTACCGTTACCTATACCTATACCTATACCTATACCTATATATATTCATGCACATGCACTTAGGGTGCAGCTTCACTTCCAAAGAAGACAGCCTCCTGAAAACTATTCCTAAACTGCTATTTCTTTCCTCACCACTTTGGGGCAATCAAACCATGCTATTGCAAAAAGGCTTTGCTAACTCCCAGCTCTCCTTACAGCCAGCATATTGCTTTTAATTTCCACATTATCTCAGAATGACAGAAAGTCATAGAAGCTATAATTTCAAATGGTCTGATAGACTCATAATGAGTCTATTGTTTCATGATGGCTCTTGGGCAGAAAAACTACAGTGAAAATGTGTGTGGCTGCTGGGGTTGTAGTTGTAGGATTTTTTTCTTTTTCATGCAAGGAGTGACTTGAGAAACTGCAAGTCGCTTCTGGTGTGAGATAATTGGCCATCTGCAAGTACGTTGCCCAGGGGACACCCAGATGTTTTTTGATGTTTTACCATTCTGTGGCTTCTCTCATGTCCCCACATGGGGAGCAGGAGCTGACAGAGGGAGCTCAACCAGCTCTCTCTGGATTTGACCCAATGACCTGCCAGTTCACTTGCAATCTAATACCAACAATGGACCTAGACCAAACTTGGCACACAGAACTCCCATGGCCAACAAAAATACTGGAGGTCTTTGGAGTGATTTATAGGAGTTGTAGTTCACCTACATCCAAAGCACACTATGAACCCAGACTCACCATAGTGGGAGTTGTAGTTTGCCCTATAGCCAGAGCACATTGAACCCTACCGATGTTGCATCTAGATTGAACTTGCCATAACAAACTTTAAGTACTGATGGAGTTTCAGAGAGTTAATTTTGCATGATGTGAGTTGTAGTTCACCTACCTTATGCACTTTGTACAATAAAAAAAAATGACTTTTTCAATGCCAGATACACAAGCTAGTTATTCAATAATAATAAATGTAATATTATTTATGTATAGGTCAAAGACCTATATATATGTATAGGTCAAAGACGATAAAATAGTAAAGAGTAGAGACATCAGAATGGCAACAAAGATCCGCCTAGTCAAAGCCATGGTATTCCCTGTAGTAACCTACGGATGTGAGAGCTGGACCTTAGGGAAGGCTGAGCGAAGGAAGATCGATGCTTTTGAGCTGTGGTGTTGGAGGAAAGTTCTGAGAGTGCCTTGGACTGCGAGAAGATCCAACCAGTCCATCCTCCAGGAAATAAAGCCTGGCTGCTCACTGGAGGGAAAGATACTAGAGACAAAGTTGAAGTCCTTTGGCCACATCATGAGGAGACAGGAAAGCCTAGAGAAGACAATGATGCTGGGGAAAGTGGAAGGCAAAAGGAAGAGGGGCCGACCAAGGGCAAGATGGATGGATGGCATCCTTGAAGTGACTGGACTGACCTTGAGGGAGCTGGGGGTGGTAACGGCCGACAGGGAGCTCTGGCGTGGGCTGGTCCATGAGGTCACAAAGAGTCGGAGACGACTGAACGAATGAACAACAACAAAGACAGCACTTTGAATAATTATAATAATTTAATATTAAATTCCCCCGATGTCTGATATTTAATAACAATATAATAATAATAATAAAAATAAAAATGCCAAGGGTCATGGAGGAGATGATGCATCTGATGATGAAAGAATCCACCGGGATTCCCTTTGCCTTCCTTGCATTTTATTGAATGAGTGATGGATCTTCCTGGGGTTTTCCTGGGTGATTTATGGATCTTTGTCACACAAATGCACCCTTCGCATTCTTCCTTGCACTTCATTTGTCATGGCCTTCTAAAAGGAGATCCAAAGGAATCCCGGCTATTGCCCCTAAATGGAAAATATATTGGGATTAGGCTTTGTATACTGTATAAGGGACCATTTTGAAGGCAGGAGAGAGGAACTTTGGGGAAAATCTTAGATCTCTAAATCAGGCCATTTTGGGGAGTTGGTTTCTCCCCCGCTTTTGTAGGAGTCAAAAGGTTGGCCATTAATCAGGGGAAAAGAGGGAGGAAAGGGACTATTTTTCACTCTGTGACTTCTTATTAAAAGCAGGGACAAATAATGTCTTGAGGTCTCCCCACTTATGCTTGCTTTAATTATATCTCAGATGCCAATAAGGTTTAGGTTTGCAATGATTACTTTCTTTCCCTCTAACGCCAGCAGGTGAATCTTCCCCCCCTCCAATAAAAGGCTGTAGATTAGAATGAATGCAGT